CAAAATATTTTGAAATTACAAAATACCACAGTTTTACTAATGCAGATAGGAATTCTGTTTGCAGATAAATTCTAAAACAGGAATAGGAATACATGAATAATAATGATATGCAGCTGCACTATTGAAGATATTTATGAAATTGTTTTTATCTGTGCTTTATTAGACTGATTTACTAAGCCTTCAGGTTCATAGAACATAATTGTGCTGTAGTTTATTCTATGTGCTGTCATTCAGGAACATTAATAATTTGTTGCTAAGCTTTCTTCTCTCTTAGAAATCAGTAATATCTCTGAAACTCTGATTATCTTAATAATATTCTTGTTTAATCTTTAATGATAGTACATCAGTTTTCTTTGTTCTTAATAAGAGTTTGGTGTCAACATACTGTTTTTAAGATCAGTCTTTCTTCCTAAATTAGCAAAGATCTGAATGATTAAAATCCTTTGGTGTATTTAATACACTTTAAGTTAGCCCATTCTTTATTCTTTAGAGAAGAAAAAAAAAAAAATACAACCATGTGAGAAAGTTCTGTCTGTTCCACAGCCAGATGATCCATACAGCATAGCGTAAATAGCAGTTACAAACTAAAATGAAAAGATTTTTTTTCATCATGTCAGAAAAACCCCAAACCCTAGGTATCTAGTCAAAGACATCCAAAATCTGGAAGGTGATACAGCTCACGTGCTGAGCACTCACAGGTTCCATGGGTGCCTGCAGAAGTGTCAGGTCCTTAACAGATTCCTGTCATGTCTACAGATTTCATCACCAATGGATTGTTTTTATCCTTTTCTTTATAATTATGAAAAAAAAAAGGTGGAATTAGGGTGAAGAAACTTTTCTGGTGGGAAAAATGTGTAAAAATGGATTTAAAATTTTAAAATGTATAGATGAATGAGACATAAACCTTGATGTTTTGTTACTGAAAAAAAAAAAAAAATAGGCTAATTTTATTTCTGGGTTTTTTTCTGGTTTTTTCTGGTTTTTTTGGTTTTCTTTCCAAAATGAAATATTTGGGTATCCATGTTCTTCTTAATTACTCCTAAAACTTCAGCTAAACTCCAATGTTTGTTAATAGGCCAACAATGGGAAATAACATAGAGATCTAGTGCAAGCAGATGCTTAGTAAAGACAGATTTTAGCTTCAAGATTTCTGGAGGTTAATGCAGATAATGAAATATGATTAAGCAAAAGAGGTTTCTTTAGTTCATTTTTAAAATAGAAAGAGTGACTCACATCAGAAAGTTCAAATACATGAAGGGCTGCTTCCGAGGGGAAATTAATAACTGGTTCCCTTTACCTGTTGCAGGTAAAATAAAAAGTTACAGGCTTAAGTTCTAGTAAGAAGGATCCAGCTCTAATGGGAACATCACAGCAGTAGGATACTAAAGCACTGTACTAGAGAGGGAAGTGGTGGAACATATTAGCTTCCAGCTGTGGTTTTCTGTGGTTAGCTGGGAGATACCATGGATCACATTTCGCAGCGAGACAAAAAAGTCCTGCCCAAAAACTTGACTTGAATTAGCAGTATTTTATCTTCTTAAATTGTATACAGGAATGAAACATATCATTTATTTTGGGGTCTGTGCAAAGGGTCCCTGTTGGCATCCAAGACATTACATGTTAGATGGATCTACTTCACTCTTTCTTTGCTCCAAGACCAAAGATTTCCTCAAGATGAGGCTCACCAAGACATTGCTGAAGTACCTTAAAGGCAGACCAAGTCTAATTTCAGTAGAGGAGAGGGGAAAATTCTTCTGTATGTAATTTCTTTTATAGCTTGCCTCAAAAATACAAGACCGAGAGAAAATTGTTTTCTTTCCTTCTCCTTCTCATACTGTTTCTTTTCCTTTTTGCTGTTTTGCCCACCTATATATTCTGGGCTTTAAGTTAATCTTCTCATCCATAGTTCACAGCATTTGGGCTATGCACAATAAAATCTGAGATGGGTATTTCAGATTTCTGGTAGTCTGAGCCAAGATCCTTCAAAATTTTCTGTCCTTGCTGCAGAAAACTGCAGAAACAAATTTGCTAATTTTTTTCTTGTTTCATAATCCATTCTCATAAGGACAGAGTAAAGAATTTTGTAACACTAAATGCTGCTAGCTGTCAAACATTCACCAGCCTGGAGATCAATTTGTCTGAATTTTCAGACAGAAACTTACTTTCAGAGTGTCATCTGACTTTCCAGTACGTTGGCTGTGTCTTCTAGGCTATTTTGAAGGCTGAGGGAAGACCCAGGTGGTCTAATTCCTTTGTTCAATGATTGGGGGTGGCTTTCAGGCATCCTGTACTTACCTTGTATGTAAGACTTTTTGAAAGGGAAAGGCTATACTGTCCTCTCCTGCTGTTTCTGAGCCAACTCTCTGTTCCTTTTCTGTCAAGTGTCTCTGCAGTGGCACTCTGCTAGATTCCAGTTAGTTCTCCCTGCTCCACTTCTCCCATGAGCTGTAGTCCCCAAGAGTTTTTTTTCTGTCTCTGTATTAATAGCTTTTTTAATTCAGATGTCTGAAGGTTTACCTCCTGGCAATTTTTTTTTCTTGCAACCCCATACCTCTGACTTCTCCAGTTATGCTGCAGTGAGGATGGTTTTACATGGTGATGGGTGACCTCCCAGGCCTACCCAGCAATTTTGTCTGCCCTTAGCACCTGAGAGCTTCATAAAGGTCTGTGTCTGCATACCAAATTCTTGCTGAGAAGGTGTCACCATTTTACATAACTGTGACATGCTACTCAGAACTATTTCTCTTCCCTTACTATTTGTTTTGATATCACTGACTTGAGAAATGAATATAAAAATAACCCCATTCTTAAATATGCTCATTGTAAATATTAATGCAAAGAGGCTCTACATACTACACTGAAATCAATCCACTCTATCAAACATTAATTTCTTAGTTCCATGGTCTTGTTTCCACATATTATATTGCTCTTGCCAATATTCAGGCTCTGTCTGGCATTTCAGAGCTATCTTCCAATAATGCAGGGAAGAACAGGCTTCATCTGCAAAGTGGCACATAAACAAAGTTATTTCTGTGATTACCCAAATCTTGCTCACACTTAATGTACACAAGCTCTCCATTAAAGCTGAAAAGTTCAAGAAGGTATGAATATCTAAAGTTGTGTGTAGGTTCTGATTGTAGCAATTCATCTATATTGTAAATAAGAGCATATTCCTATTTATTAAACAAAATTTTATTACTCTGAATAGTCTTGTATATAGAAATAGTGTGAAGGTGAAAGGCTTTAGTCTAGGTCTTAGTCCTGTCTATACCCCCTGTTGTATCTCCCTGTTCTGTGGGGCTCACAAACAGGTTGTGGGTTTGATCCCTGTGGGCCATTAACTTGAGTTGGATTCAGTGATCCTTGTAGGTCCCTTCCAACTCAGAATATTCTGTGATTTTATGATTCTGTGGTTGTCGAGTTTGTGTGTGTATACTGCACAGGTAAATGTGTGTCTAAGGTAAAAATATTTGAATTAGAAATATCTGAACTCATAACCTGAAGATTTACACAATCTTTAAAGCCAGTTTAATCTTTCACTTGCACTGAGCCAGTGTTCATCTGTAATGTCTGTTCAGTGTTAGTAAAGTGTACCTTCATAATAAGTTAATTCATTGTGATTGTCCAGTGTGCTCATAAAAGGGGAGTACACCACAACCTTGGTTAACCTGTTGCAAAACTGAAATGGTGCCCTTGGCAAGAGAAATTTAAAACTGAAAATAGATATGTAGGTTGCTGTTAGGCTGCATATAAACAGAGTATCTACAAACAGGTTAAAAAACCAGAATTGTATGAGGCAGAGCCCACAAAACACTGTAATTAATTACATTCATTAATGTAATGATTCAGAGTCTGTGAATTGTTATGTGATATGTTTGAAAGAGGTGGCTGAATCAATTTTAATTTGTTTTGTTTTGGTTTTGCTTTGTTTTTGTTTTTTTGTTAAAGAACAGAAGATCAGATTTATGGGGTCACAAATATTTTGTTACTAGGGGAGTGAAATTGCAGCAATACATTTTAACTGAGTCTTGTAGATTGGCAATATATGTACCTTTCATTCTAATGAGCACTTCCAGCCCTGGAATGAAAAGACATTTTTTTAAAGCTGTATCAGTGCCCTCACTTCCTCACAAGTCTTTCACTGTTTTCTTTATAGTCTTGATTTTGAGAAAACATAGAAACATTATGATAACTGCAACTACTTGTTTATGACACATTGCATCAAGAGGACAGCATGTTTCAGGGGGCTTGTCCAAATGTTGTTAAGATAGTGGCTTTAATCCATGAACCTTTCAGTAATTTGGACCTCACACTTCTACACGATTATGAGCATAAGCAGTTGGCAATAAATGCATCTTGATTTAAAAAGGCAGTTCCTCTTAGTGAAGTGAAAGCAGACTCTGCTACTTCATTACCTCCTGGACACCTGCTTTGCCTATAAGTGTGTGATTTTGATATTCTTCTCAGAAAGCTGAATGCCTCCCTACCCTCTCCTTCATGTTCTTCTAGAGACAATAACAATTTAGTGTAAATGTGCGAGCTATTGTGGATTTATTATTGTAGATGGTGAATATTATTATGTGCCTGGTGGGCAGTCAATTGTATGTGGCAAATATTGTAGATTTATATCTTGTCTGCTTAAAACATTACTTGAAGTGCCTAGAGCCAGGGTTAGGTGCTTAAGTCGTAGCTTCAAATAAATAAATAAATACATTAAATAAATAATTGAAGCAGGCAGTTACAGATAATAAAGAGAGATGGTTTCTGGGTAGGAAGCTCTGTAAGTCTTACAGCAATAGTATCTTTAATAAAGAAGGTGAAATAAAATCCCCAAAGAATTTCTTATATGCAGATAAAATAAAGCAGAAAAAGCCAAGCACCCAAACGAACAGGACTTATACTTGGTGAATTAGAAGCTTCTTTATGTACGGTATAAAACTAATTACTAGGGAGCGTTTTCTTTACCTTTAATTTCTATTTAATAGCCACTGCACTTGTCATTGCAGGTATGGTTACAAAAGTATGGCTACCTTCCACCAACTGACCCCCGAATGTCGGTGTTGCGCTCTGCAGAAACCATGCAATCAGCTATAGCTGCCATGCAGCAGTTCTATGGCATTAATATGACAGGAAAAGTGGACAGGAACACAATTGAGTAAGTAACCAGTACTGAACTGCTCTTGACTTTTCTGTTTCAAGCAGGGTAAAATAGAACTGGGAAGCAGCCGTGTAACCGGAGTATCCAAATAGTGTTGCAGCTTCAGATGGGGAGGTAAATTGTTTCTCTCTTTCCTTGCCTTTTCATTTTCTTCATCTTCTGTGTTTCATGGTAGCAGTCATCACCAGCCTAACTGCCGTCTGCCTTTGGGCAAGTGATTGTACACAAGATGTTACAGGTTTACCTAAAGTAAGGGCCAAAAGGTTATCATTGTGGAAGGGAAGAAACGTATTTGAAACTGGCAAGAATCCATGAAATGTTTCACAGTTGAAGGAGTCTTTTTTTACTGGAAAATCTTTAGTGTAAATTTTTTTATTCTTACTAATTAAATTTGGCAGACTCCACTGGCCCATTTGTTTCGTGATTTCCAGTAACAAAAGACCAGGTGTGGTCATTTTAACATGCAGTAAAATTGAATCAGTTTTGCATGCCCTTTGCAATCCTGAAGTTGTTTCAGTATCTGATTTCAGATGCAGAATGTACACAGAGAAACTCTGCAAAACAGAACTATTGAGGGACACTTTCAATCAACTCTATACTGTCCCAAATTTTAGAAACATGCCAAAAAACTGCCCCCCCCGCCAAAGCCAGGGATGATTAATACACAATTAAGAGAATGTATCTAGGATTAAGACAGCAGGACCAGGGCAGTGATCATGCCGCTGTACTTCACGTTGGTGGGGCCACTCCTCGAATGCTGCGTTCTGTTTTGGGCCCTCAAGAAGGACACTGAGGTGCTGGCTGAGTCCAGAGAAGGGCAGCATAGCTGGGGAAGGGTCTGGAGCACGAGTCCTGTGAGGAACAGCTGTGGGAATTGTGGCTGTTTAACCTAAAAAAGGAGTCTCAGGGGGATCTTACCACTCTCTATAAATACCTGAAAGGTGGGGGTTGGCCCCTTCTCCCAGGAAATCATTTACAGGACAAGGCTCAAGCTGCACCAGGGGAGGTTTAGATGATATTAGGAAACAGTTCTTCACCTAAAGGGTTGTCAAACATTGGAACAGGCTGCCCAGGGAAGTGTAAGTGTGGCACTTAGGGACATGGTTTTATGATGGATTTGGCAGTGCCATGACAATTGTTTGAATCAATTGCTTTAGAGGTCTTTTCCAGCTTAAACTTCTCTGATTCTCTGAAGTGCTTGTTGGACTCACTTCAGTTAAATTGTGATAAAGATTATCTTGTGATTTCAGGAAAAGTTACTTTGCTTGAAAAACAAGCCATAACTCAATGGTGCTGTCACTGCATATCCAACATTTGCCTCAGTGAAATATGCTTCTACTGCTCTAAAATGCTTATTTGGGGGAGAAAATAATCTTCCTTCATTTCCCGTTTCCCACCCCCAAACTGATGTGTCATCTTTTGTTATTCTTTTCTTTTAAGGTAACTGACATTAATGATTTTTCTATAATTTAGAGTTTAGGGAAGAGACTAGGCAAAATGCTGGCAGGATTGGAAAAATCATTTTATTCCACTGACACATACTCTATTGCATTGAAAAGCAATAAAACAAAGCAGATTTTGTGGCTGCCCTCAGGGGAGGTGAGTTGATCACACATTCCCTCAGTTTAGGAATTTAAAGGACCCTAGACCATGCAGTGCAATAGCAGTAAATGCCTTGTGAGAGAGCCATGCTCAGAAGTGTGTTTAGGGTCCATTCTGCAGGTGAAGAGTCTGTGCTCTTTGTACAGTGATTGATCTTTGAGGAGAGAGTGCTGCCAGTAACTAGTACCTTTTTCAAGACATGTCAGAGACAATATATTTCACTGAAAGTAAAATAGCCTGTTCACAGCAGCACAAAAGAGACAGAAAGGAGTAACCTAAGGGAAAGCAGAGGCCATCATTTAGTTTAGAGTATCAGCTGGAGAATTAAAAAAAAAACAAACCAACCCAAAATTCCAAGTTCAAATGGAGATGGTTAAGGTTGCTAATGTAGCATTTTGAAGATTTTCTTCACTTCTGCAGTTTAAGAGATGGAGAAATCCACCTGTGCAGCAACCCAAAATATTAGTCTTATAAAGTGGTGAATATTGAGTCTTTGAGATCTTTTGATGTATGATTTTCTTCTACACAGATACATTAATATATTGCAATTCTTAGGTACATGTAACTCATGCTGCATTTACTTAGGTATTTGGAGTCACATTACCTTGAGTCAAATTAGGAACAAAACTGATTGTTAAAGGCCTGTTACACTTAAATTGGTGTTGAAAAAGACCAAAACAACAAAAAAACTCATTTTTAACGAAATACTGGCCTCAAGGTACCATCAGTTCACATCACTGAATATTCATGGGAGATATGACTGTATAGTAAAGAGTAAATTGTCTTTCAGTTATTCATTTGTGGCATTATTTTGTAAAATAAACACAATTTCATGTACACAGAAAGTATATATACTCTTTAGGTAAGAAACATATGACAGTTTATAATTTTTTCCTCTGGGATATGCTGTAATAACTAACAATGCTGGTGTTGCAAATAATAAATAAAGCAGGAACCTCAAAAAAAATATGTTCTCATCTTGTGCATGAGGATTTATCTGCATCTTTGACACATCTTGACAAGAGATTATGATGTGATTCTTTGTCTTCAGAAGGACAAACTATTAAAAAAGTTGTAGTAGCAACTTGATAGGAACCAACTTTGGGGATATTAACAGAGAAATAATGCCCTACAGCAGCACTATGAAATGTCTCCTGGGAGGATTTTGCTGCTCTGGAAAAAAGATAATCCCTCAATGAGTATTTTGGTATGCATAAATATGAACAGTATTCATCTTCTCCTTACTACTCAGCATTCACTTGGTTTCACTATTTGTTTTTCCTCAAGTGTCTTGGAAAGAATGATGCATACTTATTGCTGGGGATAAGGAAGAGTGAGTGGTAGGGAGAGACATCCTTATAATGGTGTAAAAATGTGAGGGAGTTTCTGAATGCAAGTACCGTGACAATGGCGAACCCAGTGAAAATACTGTCTGATGTTTGCATGGAGTGCCACGGTATTTTCTGTATTTCAATTATATATTACCAAACACAGTCAGTGTTTCATGAAAAAGGACATTTCTGAAACTGGACCCACTGTTGGCATTCCTGGCCTTCTGCATCCTTAAAAGAAACATTGTAGAAGAAAACTAGTTGTCATCTTTTCTTAAAATTGCTATGCATGTTTATTCCCAAAACTGGTTTTGCACTTTTGAGGGGTACACTGCAAACTTCTTGGTATACAGGTGGAATGGTCATGTGTAGGATGCTGACTAAATCTGTGCAACAATAACAAAACTTTCATTTTATTCCAATGTCATCCTTTAGAAATAAATGGCAATTATGATTGTTTCAATGCTTAGATGAGCTTCTGGCCAAGTTTACGCTCTCTGCTGTTCGTATATTAACTATCAGTCACAAAGTAAATCCTGAACTGTTGAAATTGATCCAGTGGTTTATTTTCTCAGTAAATTAGTATTTTTTTTTGTACAAAAGTATACATAAGGTCTGTACCCTGAGCAAATAGCCAGTGAGAAGTCTTGAAAAGAAATCATCTGGGCTGAAATACAATATCTTACATCACTCTTTGACTGTTTCCTATTACTAAGCAAGTGTCAATGAAGTCCTGTAATAGCAGGCTACAGCAAGCAAAGATGCTTAGAAAGACATACCTATTTCTCCTTAATAGATGTTTAAGGGTATAATTCAGTAGTTTTCTTAAACAGACATCTATAATTTGTCCAGCCACTAAGTTAAGTTGCACAAAGTCAAGTTGAACCCTCTCTTTTAGTTTCCTTTTCTACTATAACTCTGTCCCAAGTAACCCCCAAAGCCCAAGAACAACAAAACAATTGTGCAACCTTACCAGCAATTTGGATAAGGGATAAAGCAGCTGGGGCCTTCAACCAAAGGTATGGCTTTTAATGTTTTGATTCAGTGAGGGTAATTTTTTTTCCTGAATCTTTCTAGACTTGCTGTGAATCTAAAATATTTAAATTTTCCTGACATATATAGCTCTTCAAGATTCAAACTAATGGAATTAGAATAGGAATGTGATGTGACATAGTATACAGATAGGGAACATTTGTCACAATTAAGCCTCTTTATTGAGTACTTGTAAAATATTAATTTTGAAGGGCTGCTGCAGAAAAGATTTCTTCAATTTCAAAAACAAAGTGATGAAAGAGAGGCAAAGTCATTACCTGTAGGCACCTTTTAAAAATGAAGCATATTTCAAAACATTTCAAAAACACATTAAAAAATTAAACTCTATGAAACAATCAGGAACATGGAAGACCTTAATCATATTATGTTAGAAGAATCTATATTTGAAAGAATATAGAAATCAATGTCTTATTTGTCAATTCCCCCAAGAAAAGACCATATTATCTGCTAAGTATCTGGAATGTCATGAGCATTAATGATTATTACTAAGAGAAGTCTTCCTCCCAGTGAGTGTGGGAACAATTACAGTTTAAAAAAAAAAATATTAAAGAAATAAAAGGAAAATTTATGTGTCTGAAGTTGTTAACATTTTGCCTCATTTCTGTGCTAGAAAATACTGAGCTCCCATACTAGTCATGCACTAGTTTGTTTAAAATTTGACATCTAAACTTAGCTCAGCTAAGATCTAGGTGATAGATTTGGTGATGTTCCAAATCTTTGGCTGTGAATTGTATCTTTTCTTAAATTTTACATGAAGATAATTGCCCAAAAGCTACTGAACCACCCATGCAATGACTTCCATTTGATTTATATTTGGATTTATATTGTGTGAACTACAGACCTCATGTAAGAACAGTGAGAACATTAGTGGTGCAGACAGCATGAGAGCTTGGAACATCCCCTCCCTGTCCAAACCAATAAGGGTACAAGCATAATGTCCTTGTAGGTACATACTGCTTCAAAATCAATGCAGGAACAAATTGTGACTGCTTGAATTTCATAACATGTTATTTTGGGCTACGTTTTGTTTTGTTAAAAAGGGATTGTCAGTAGTTCTATTAAGATAATACAATGTTGATTTTTTAATCCGTGTTACCTACTGTTCTTGACCTTTGGTGTTAGCTCTAAAATGCGAAAAGGTTTTTACATTAACAAGATTTTCTGTAAGATTATTGAGTCTTTTGACTTGATAAATTATTTCAATAGCTTTGAAGATTAATTTTTAAATTCAGAACTTGGAATATTTACTCTTATCTGCCCCTAACTTGCCAGTGAGCAAACCCTTTTATTAAAATAGGTCTCCATCAGTTAAGCTAAATAATGTAAACTTTTTGTTGAGGGAAAAGGCCTAATTCAGTAACTTTTAAGTCATTGCCCTTGAAATTATACAATTTTGAGTGATATATGTTATACAATATCTTTATACAGTGTTTCTAACAAAATATAATAGTTACTTGATTTTTCTTTATTCCTTGCTTCTTGTTCTTGATGTAGGGATATCACTTTAAGGTGAGAACACCAATCTTTTATGTTTACATCTTTTTCTGCAGTGTGTGTATGAAGTTCCAACAATATAATTTATATATACCCTGCCACTAAAGTGTTGCATACTGATCTAACATGCACTGTGAAAAAATATTGCTGACAATATGTCTAAAAGTTTTTGAAGGTCTGATCCAATTTTAATTTCATGAAGTGTAAATATATTATTTTACTAATAAGAATACTATTGCCCTTTGGTCTGTAACTACATCTTTCTTCCATTTTCTTTCATTACTAGAGCAAATTCAACTTTCCAGTAATACTTCGTTCCAAAAATCCTTAATGTCTACTTTGTTGAATTATTATTTTATTTCAAAACCCAAAGGAATCTAAAGTAAATTTGCAGGGTGTGTCAGCAAATGCTGGTGGGGTAAGGTTTTTTAGATTTTTGCAGTATGGTCTTTGCAGGCACTAGAGAAGGAACATTGTTTTCCTTGCACATCAGCTGTTTTATGTGCCATGCATAAGTATTCTGACTAGAAATTGGAACAAATCATTCTGTGTTTCTTATTTGAAGCAGGTGATTGTGATCCTTGATGTCTTCAGTTAAGGCAGTTAAATCCATGAGCTTTGGGTTCCTGACCTGTACTACTCAATAGATTTGTCTCACATCAGAGTTTTTGCAGGCACTTCTGTATCTCTTATCAGTGCAAGTGGGATGCAGTGCCATCTTGGTAGTATCAAGAAAATTTTGTATTTTCCCGCAGGCTGGTGAGCTTAATACCTACTTGTGCCTTTGGAAAACAGTTTGCTGTATATCCATAGCTACAGCATATATGAAGTGTTACAAATCTAACTGTACTTTTAAACCACTTCTTACACATTTATTGTGAGGCTGATGATTGACTGCTTTTTTTTGTGTTTTTTATTACCTGTGCATGTTTTAAAGGGAATCTGCTTTCTGAGATGACATTCCAAATTACTTTTCTGTCATCCAATCACACATATATATATACATTTGCTATGTGTACATTTATTTACAAAACAGTGCCAGTTTAATGGTCAGAAATTCATCCATGAAAGCCTGAATATAGGCTATGACTACTCTTCTGGTAAATGGCATTGTAAAACTATAGCTTTTACATAAATAATTGTTTGGCATGATAGAAATATAGTCCAATGAGCTGGAAAAAGTAACAGAGGAGATTTGTCTTTTACTTACGCAGTAAAGACTTTAGTCTTGCTCTCTTCCTGATGGTAAATTGTCCTGCAGCCATTCAATTCATATAAAATAATAACATTAGCTGTGTTTTATTTCAACTAAATAGTGTCTTACACTACAAGTGAGGAATAGTTGGAGGATATTGCTGTGGAAATGATATTTCTGTATTAGATATCATCTTAATTATAATATATTTTGAATGCTGTCAAGTTTAAAGTTTTTGAAATATTGGAGAACAATGATGTATTGAAAAGCACTGTAGAAATAAAATCTTTCTCTGTGAAATCTGGTGCTTCTGCAATGGTCATTTTTATTATATGAAATTTAGATTTTTGGCTTGATTTTGTGCAGAACATTGAATATTCTTAAGCAATAATTCCTGAGTTAAATATCTCCATTAGGAGTTTTAAGTTCCAATGAGATACTTCTCATTGTGTGGAAAAAGAGTAAGGTAGAAGAATTTGATAGTATCAAATAGTTAGCAATTTCAGTATCATGAATTAAAAAACCAGCAATGGTCTGTTGTTTTTATAAGTTTATATGTTCTATAAAATTATATGTACAGATAATAACGTGGGGGTTTTTTTTAGGGATGCAGTAGTTATTATTTTTCTTTCATGTTGCTTTAACTGTGTGGTGCTGTTTCTTGCAGCTGGATGAAGAAACCTCGATGTGGTGTGCCTGACCAAACGAGAGGTAGCTCCAAATTTAACATTCGTCGGAAACGCTACGCGTTAACAGGACAGAAATGGCAACACAAACATATCACTTACAGGTACTAAAGATATTCCTGTAGGCATGCTAATGTCACTAATGGTGATGGCTTTTCATTTAAAGTAAATAGAAATTCCTAAATGTTTTTCAATATTTTGAGAAGTTTATTATTAATGTATGATATAAAAGTGCTACTCTGGGTATACCTCCTATAAGTATGTATGTGCTGTATAAGAACCAAGTTGTTTTCTTGGACTAAAATTGCATCTATTTAGTAGCCAGTAAACTTTCTGAAGCTTACAGCATCAGTTTAACACCCAGTGTGTCCTTAAGTTTACCTTTCAACTTTCTTGGCAGCTTCTCAGGAAATAATGCTCTAAATCTAGGAGTGCTGTAATGAAACTCAGATTTCTAATTTAAATATGTAAAATAGGTTATTGAAAGGAGTCAGTCTCTGCAAAATGTAGGTGCCTATGGGTCTGTTCTAAGTACAAATTAATTTGATTATAATTTGATGAGTCACTGACCCGACCATTTCCTGTCTAGATGATGATGGGTGCAGGAGTGTGTGCAGGGCAGTACATCTGTATAACTCCTGAGCCTGACACGTAGTTAGCACAGTGTGCCTGCTGTCAAAACTGAGGCCTTGCAGGGAAAGTTAGATGGAAACTTTCAAGATGTACTCACTAGAGCTCTGTCAACCAGAGAAAGTGTCATGTATATTATATAAAACCCCCAATCTGTCAGCAAAATAAGGATTCCAATAGAGACTGTTGGAAAATTTACACAGCCTCATCATGGATTCCTGTAATATCTAACAGGGGTAAGAGATAAAAGGGTGAGGGATAAAATAGTTTTCCAATTCATTAACTAGTGCCGTTATTTACAAACCCATACAAGTAGTAAATATAAAGTTCATAGGCCTTAATAGTCATACAGACTGTTCCTCATACCCTGATGAAGAGAGTTTAATTTGTAACCCTATGTCACTACTCTGGTTTATGACTGAATACTTTAAGACATTACATTCTGATACAACATCAAGGAATAGACAACTGACTTGCCTTGGGGCTGGTAAGTTGCATTGGCTGAAGTCCTTTATTGTTAATGTAAATGTAATTTATAGCTGGTTAGAATAAGAATGCTTACCTACAGCACTTTACATCTTTTTGCATTTTTTTAGAATTTAAGTACAGAGTGTGCACACTTAGGAGGCATGTGTAGTCATCTACTCATATGTGTAGTTTTCTACCACTCTGATTGTACAGGGTCTGATTCCCTGTTTCATTACACAATTTTTTACAACAGTCGAAATCCTACCACTTGTATATCTTCTGGACTGTCACCCAAAGCATTAATCCAAATAACAGATGAAGGTGCCCAGTGTTAAGCTAAGTGACAACTATCTAGTAACCTTTCTCACTCTGAGGAATTTATAGCAGTTCTTTATCTCCTGCCTCCCCTCTTTGAAAATGTTCTCTCTCTCACTTTGACAAGACTTCCAGTCAAACAGAGCTTTGAAGTGACTAAGTCTGTAATATTTTTTACAGTGAATTATAGTACAAAAGACATTTAAAATAGAAACCCTACATTTGATTAGAATAGAAAATAAATGTTATATTGTCTTTTTGATTTAGAAAATAACCCAAAGCAAATAAAGACCAAAAAAAAAAAAAACTAAGATTCTTTTCACACTTTTCACCAATTCCCTGCTAACAGGCTTATAACATGTTAAATGAATGACATTTTACCCTGCTTTGTTCCTTAAAATTTTAATCATATCTCTAGTGTCATTTATCTGCTCATTTTTTCTCTATGCCACTCCTCAGTCTCTTTATAACCTGCAGTTTTTCAGCTGCATTCTGTGCCTTCCTGGCCAGTCGAACCTTGCATCCTGAAGTGTGCCTGCTAAGTTTAGTAATTCCTCCACAGAAAGAGCAATTTCTCCTTCATTTCACTGTGTAGTACATCTTACAATTTTCTGGAAAGCAAAACCAAAACCCCATAACAAATACTCCCAAAAGCAAGTTCCCCACCCTTCCTTGCCCTGGAACTTTTTTCAACATGTAATTTTTCAACCTGAAACAGTTCTGCAAAATTTCAAGATAAGTTTCAATGAAGCAACTTGAAATTACAATTATAATTAGAAGATACATTAATAATGTTGGGGGGTTTTTTGCCCCATATTAAATTTTTATGCCCTTTCAGTAACAGATTGAATTTTGGAGTTAGGTGATATTTATTCTTAGAAAGAAATGTGTTTACAGACAGAACCAAAATACAGATTTCCAGTACTGGGAACACCAGCATGGAATGGACAATCTGCTGCATTAATTATGCTTGCTCTCCCTCAGGGAATGCAGCCTTCTTCTCATTTGAACTGATGTGTGATGTTTGTTGGAATTCCTGTTTCTGATGAAGCTACCCAGTTCACAGTATTTTTCTGCCTGGTATAGTTTATGCTGATAAACCTTGTGACCATTATTAGTATACATGTTATAGACTAACATGCCTTTTACAAAGAGCAAAACAGAAAGTAAGTATTTGAAGCTTTGTACCAGCCAAAAGAGTATAGGGGTGAAAGAGAACATCTAGAGTACAAGAAAATTACGACTCCATTACAGAAAAAGCTACAGAGATCTAAATGATATAGTCTTAATCTTTCCTTAGTATTTCGGGCTGTGTCAGGTTACACAACCATCTCTGAACATTGTACAGAATCAGAGAAGAAATTTAAGAAGGCTATGAAAGGATTTTTAAAAATTATTTAAGTTTTTTTAAAAAATTTGAGGGGGTATTTTTGAAGGCACATATGATTCTCAAAAATATAGTCACCTTCTCTTTTGCTAGGAAAGTAAATAATCTAGTACTTTAAAGAAGGAGCAACAATGTGAATCAATAAAGCTATCTGTTTTGTAAAAATAGAATATAAATGTTTATCTGTCAATTTTAGACAGAGAATCATTGAATATGAACCCCTCCTCATCAGCATTCTGTGCATATTATTCATAATCTGAGCTCCAGCAGTCAGTCATTTCTCAATTGACCAGATTATTCCATTTGTGAAATACTTTTGCAAGTAAAATTGGACAATGTTCTGTAAAAAATAAAAGCTTTGCCTTGAATTATAGCCATGACTTAGAACTTGTAATGATTTAAAATAAAATAATAATTTAAAAGCTATTCTGATTAATTTTTTTCTTTCTTAAGTAAGGAAAAAAACAAATTCAATTGTTCAGCAATATATTATCATTTAATTGGTGCAGGAAACAGCTCTAGATAGGCAATAGCTCCATCCCAAACCCACTATAAATAATTTAGTATTTTTCTTGAGTTCAGTTGACAATGGGTCAAGCCCTAGATAATTGTCATTTTCCTTTTACAAGTTAGATATATCCTATATTCTAACTATATGCTGTTCAGATAAATGAATGAATTAATGAATACTAGCTGGGAGCTTCAGTAGGCAATGAAAACTCTTCTCTGGCCTGTTAGCAATAGACTGTGCAATTCCTATAGTCTGGATGGTCCATATTGTGTAGAATATGGAGAAATGTTTTTTTTCTTGGATATTGGATATCCACACTAATAAATAAGGAAACAGTGGATTAAGAAAAAACTTGGAAAGTGCTGCTGATTCATAGCAGCAAAAATATTTTTGAGTGTATTACTACAAAGTAATATTTAGAACACATTCCATGTTTATGGTTCATTTTGTTGATTTTAGATAACCTAGTAGTAAATTATGACATCAGATCTCTTAAAATAGCTTTCCTATAAAAACATTTATCTGTCAAGTATTTTGCTAATCTTAGGTTTTTGTCTCGGAAATCTCATGTCTTTCACATTTCATCTTCTTTTAATGAATGTTGAGGAGAATGTTATCCCTGAAAATGAAGAGGCAAGATAATAATAAGTTCTTTCAATCATGGCAGCAGTAGGTTGAAAATCAAACCCACAGAAAATCAAAAGCAACAGTTCTGGTGTAGGATTAATCAACATGAGCAAGAGCTGTATGAACCAAGATAGCACTCTTAGTCCATGTCTACAAAGAGTTAGCAAACTGAAACTGGAAAGAAGTTGAAGCTAAAAGACTTCACGTCAGTGAGAGTTCAGTGAAGCAAACTCTTCAGTGATTTCTAGAGAAATGATGGCCCAAAGTGAAATATGTTTTTGGCCAGAGGTAATTTATTACTTTCAGTAAAAGTTACAGTGTGATTAAAAACCAACCAAACAAACAAAAAACTCTCCACCAAAACAACAAACAAGCCTCCAAAATTTTGGTCCAGTTTAGGTTTGATTTACATCAATGACAGTAAAAAGGTTATGTCAACAATTTATGCAAATTTAATGTATGTTCCAATTCGTTTTACCTGAACAATTTCATCTCAAGCACAGATCTGTAACCAGCTAACTTCAAACAGATTACTGACTGTATCTTTTTACCTACTCAATTTAAATTCCTGCTCTTTCATCTATTTAAATTTCAGATTACTGATTTTACACAGTCAAGTGAGGTATATCCTGACAATCTTGCAAGGCTCCTGAAGCTGATACAGCCAAAAATATGTCAGTGAAACATGGATAATTTTTCTTTTAGGATATTTTGGGAAAGGAGTGGGAAGGGAAGGAAAGGAAAACCCAAAGCTTTTCTGAAATCAATAGACTCAGGATTATACAATAACACTCTCAAAACAGGACTCTTCAGACAGCTGTGGAAATAGTAAATCAATGTGAAAAGGGCATATCAGTGATAAAATCTAATCATTCTTGTGGAAGACATGTATTTTAAAGTTATAATGCTTGGAACAACTATCAGGTTGAAAATCATAGAAAACCAGCAATAATAACCACCAAAAAAAAGCATAATCAATAGATACAGGGCTGTTGCAGTCTAAAAATAACAGCTTTCAAAATTTATAAAATGTGTCACTCAGTTTATTTATTTGTAAAACATGGCATGAAAAAAAATATTTCATCTTATAGATTGCCTTTTGTTTAGTAATTACAGGATCTTCAACCTCTTTGTACTGCCAATCTGGTCAAGGTCAGCTTTGGATCTTTCTCTCATTTGAGCTTCTTTGCTGTGAAATGATCACTAGACATGCAGACTAAGAAAGCAATACTTAGAAAAAAGATGTATTTTTATTATGAAGGCCTTTGTCTTGCTATGCTTTCACCTTGCAATAAGAGTGATTCTGAGTTGTCACATCCTACACTTCTATTTGATCTCCATTATCTGCACATGTTGAGTGTAAGATACCAAATTCCTCTTTTTTTTACTGTTTCAGGTGATTCCTGGATTTAAGATGCAGATCTAAATGTAATAGGAAAGGGCTTATATGAGACTTTATTTGCTATTGCAATCATAGGTCTAAACTGAAGACTTTTAAAAGATTTATAGTATCTCTGGCAATTGATAGACTGTCTTTATGAAGTGATTTTACTGTACTTCCCCCTTGGAGGTTGTATGATAAACAGCATGAAAGAAATGTAACATAACTTGGGTTTCAGATATCTGCACTGGTGAATGATTTTGAGCAAAGTTCCCAGCAAGACAATTTCAATGTTTGTGTTGCACGATGTTGGTATTTACTCTTTCAGTGTTGAACTTGGATTGTGTTTGACACATTAAAATTGGACAATAGTCTTTTGTAAATATTTTTGTATAGGAATAACTGATGATTTGTGTAATTTCTCTTTAAAGTTACACTTTTCTGTATAATCTTGCCCACTCCAATCTTGGTTTGGAAGCCAGAAATTTCTCTGGTTTTAATACAGAAAGTGTGCTTTAAAAAAAGTTGACAATGAATCTGGAGATGTAGGATGCTATTTTCAAAAGTCAATAGCTGAATGCCATGGAAAATGTCTGCTGTAAAAGGTAGTCTACTCTAGCTTGCAAGTGTGAAACTAGCCCAGTGGCTCAGTTTGTCATTTTTAATCTGATTAAAACTCAATTCAATGTGCTGAAAAAACAAGAAAATCTTTTGTTCTGTTTGCTTAAGACCAAAGGGGGACTTTGACCAATTACTAAGATTCCTAAATACAAAAAAAAAAACCAAAAAACAAACAATCCAAACAAAACACCAAAAAAAAAACACAACCAAAAAATACCCAAAGAAAGAAGCAAAAACAAAAAACCGCAACTAACAACAACAACAAAAAACTCAAAACCAAATGAAGCCCAAGCTGTATATTTCAGATGAACTTTTTCTATATCAGTTCAGTTTTTCTGCAGTTTTTCTAGCCATGCTCTGTTTTCTATGAGAGCCTGTTGATTCATTTGCCATATTCTTTATACATGGCAAATAACAGAGGCTCTAACCCTTCAAAGAGCTCTTCTTCAGGCAGTACACGTGCCTTAGGGGGAGCACAGCAGGACTAGGAGCACCTCTGCCAGCTTTGCAGGGGATATTCTTAGCATAGCATCAGGGAAGTTTTTGGTAGTGGAAGTGTGCCATTGTGAAGTGCTTTTGATTTTGTGTCATAGGACAGGTTCCAAAATGCTATACTTTCTCAGGGGGAACAGACAGTAGTTTATGAACTTGCTAATTAAAGCATCTCAAAAAAAACCTAATTCTCAGAGGTGGGAGCTTTCAGAGAGGGGTTCTGCAAGGGCTGAGTGTTGGTCCAGTGTGTCCAATATTTTTTTATCACAGAGAAAGCAATGCAACACTGATCATAAAATGACTGATGAGCAAATAATTATGAAAGGGCATCATAGAAACCACTTTAAATCACATGACATTTACATTATGTAGAGTAAGGTCATGCCTACAGATCAGAGGACATTTTCTCTCTGACAGCAAGATCAGTACTGCAGTACTTTATAGTTCTGACAGAGCCAGTTTTAAAAGAACATTAAAAAATTGGGTTGAGTTTAATAAAAATCACAGAAAATATTCAATATACTGGAGAAAATGTCTTCTAACCAGAGATTTATAGATTTCAAAATATTAATTTCTTAGAGACAACAAAAAGGTAATGACTTTGCAGTGCAGAAATGTCTTTTAAATATCTTTGTATAAGGGGAAAAGTTTTGAAGCTCATGTATGTGAGAGAGAAAGGCAGAACAAGAACCAATAATATAAGCCAGGCAAATAATAGAATCGACAGAAGTGTGAATTGATTGGTTAAATTACCTTTGGAACAAAAGATCCAGGAAAGCAGTGAATTGTCTGCAATGTATTATCTTATACTTCATGTTGGTATTTCTTTGGAACATGCATACCAGCTAAAAAATTATGCTTTGGTTAGACAGCACTATTGGACTCAATACAGTGAAATCTTTTTGAGTGGAAGTCCATATAGGTAACTTTATGTTTTCTACCTGAAGCTGTGAACAAAATGTATATATGAAATAAAATCTATACAATCACACTTGAAGGATTTGTTCCCATTTATAAAAACATAAATGCCATATAATCAAGCACATTTAATGTACCAAAAAAATCAATCTTTTGAGCTTTATTCATGAAAGTATATTTGTTGTCTTTTAATGTGCCATGCTGTGTAAACTGACAAAAATATTACATGTACTCTAAAACTATGCAATTTTTGAAAATTGTGCTGGACATTCAGTCAAGCACATGTCAAAGGAACAAAGAGAATCTGATTGCAGCAGCTTCAGAGCAGACACAAACCTAATAGAGTTTTTGCTGCCTATATGGATCGAGTGGAAATGATGCAGAAAATTGGATAGGTTTGAAATTGATTATTGACATTCTTTTCTTGAATTCAATAATGAAAACAAAGAAAGATTTTTTTAAAAGATGATTTCACGATAATTTACTAACTATGAGAGTAAACTGCAGTTCTCAAGGTTTTTGCCTTTTTCCTGTATGTGTCACTTGAAGAAGTAGTGGAGACTGAAATTTCTGTTTAAATACATATTCTTGACTTAGCATGTAATTGTCTAATATAAAATGGTTTCTCTGATGGATTCTACAGTTTTATGGAAGATTTACAGATGTAATCAGATCATAAAAGGACGTATTAGCCTGTACTAAAGTCAAAAGGCTTTGTTTCTGATACGGAATTTTTCCAGTTGCAAATACAACAAGGCTTTGTGATTACTGGTTGGTGGTCACAGTATGGAGTTCTGCTTTTGTTAATGAACTCACTAATAAGTAAAAATTTAATTTAACTAAAAACATTTTTTTTTTGATCAGAAAGAACACAACATTCTTTAGCTGTGATGGAGTCTAATTGTGGTCCAGGAGGTAAACAGTCAGTGGTTGATTAATCTGGTTATCCCACTGTTAGGAATTTTTCATTTTAATATATTCTTAATCTTCTAAATATAATGTGGTTTTTTTCTACTGCTGGGAGTAAGCTAGCTATCATAATAAATTCCATCTTAAAGGGCTGTACAGATTGACACCATAATTTTGTACCAGCTCGTTTGAAAAAACTCTTCTCAAAGTGCCAGGCTAGCATGTTTTATTAAAAACACAGTGCTTATAATAATTAGGGGGAAGTGGTTATTAGCAGTGTCATTTACCACTCTGTTAAATTTAATCTGTGTAATGTTTCTCTGTTTATTTCAGCATAAAGAACGTCACTCCAAAAGTAGGTGATGCTGAAACTCGTAAAGCCATTCGCCGTGCCTTCGATGTGTGGCAGAATGTAACTCCTCTAACATTTGAAGAAGTTCCTTACATTGAATTAGAAAATGGCAAGAGAGACGTGGATATTACTATCATTTTTGCATCAGGTTTTCATGGAGACAGTTCTCCCTTTGATGGGGAGGGAGGATTTTTAGCTCATGCATATTTTCCTGGCCCAGGAATTGGGGGAGACACTCATTTTCATTTCGACTCAGACGAGCCATGGACCTTGGGAAATCCCAATCATGATGGTAAGAGAAGGTTTTATTTTATACAAAATAGATAAGTGGCATGAATTTTCAGCTAACAGAACTACTTCCATCCTACCCTGTTCCTAAAGTCAGGTGGTTTGCTTTCCTTGGTTAACATTACTTTAGAAATATATTTAATTGATTGGTCTGTTTGTTTAATTGATTGGTCTGTTTGAATCCAAGGCAGAAAAGTATCTGTCTGAATGTAATACATTATGAAAACATGTTTTGCTTGAAAAACATTGAATTCTTCTTAGGAAACTTCATGACCATTCAAACATTGTACTGGTTAATATTTACCTAAACTTTAGTTTCGCATTTTTTAACAGGTCAAACTTATTTAGGTTTAGGAAAAATGTGGAATATTCCTAAACAGTGATATAAGAGAGGTTAAGAATTACTCCAGCTAGTATCCAATTCTGTGGATACCAAAGTACATAAAACCTAGTTTTCAGTTTGTATCTATGATGATCCAGTGGCAGTGTTTAAAGGCAAATCTTTAAGATGCCGTTCCAAGAGCAGAATTGGTGTTTCCCAAAAACTTTTGAATGTCTTTTGGAATTGTTGATTATAACATGTCCAATTTACTTAAGTAGTACATTCCTCATAGTTAAATAAATGACTGCATAGTGCAGTTGACACACCAAAAATTTCCCAAATAAAGACTGAATATACCCTTTATTCTTCACAAATAAAATCTGGCCATTGCCAAGCTCTAAGGTGATGTGACTAAATTACGGCCATATCTGGGAATGCTAATTTAAAGCTAAGTCTAACTTTGCATCTTGTCAAATCAGTAGCAAAGAAAGGATTTTCTGTAGACATATTCTGTGTTTGATGCTGTGACAGGTTTTGTTTCCAAGCAGCTTCAGTTATCCTGGTAAATCTCTGTAAGCCAGTTCCATGGAGTTTGAGACATCTCTTCAGCAAACAATGATACACAAAAGGAGATGCACAGGTGCACAAATAGGATGTTTCTGTCATACAAAAGATGATAGGGATGACAAGAAGTGCAGAGCTGTTGTATTTCAATGTTACACTGAATTTGTGAATGAGAGGCTTTATCTAATCTTTTTTTCTTTCCCCTTCTCATCTCAGATCCCCAAGTAAAATTCAGAGCTTTTTATGTAACAGCATTTGGAGTCTGCAACAAAACCTTAATCTGGCATTTTAGGAGTATAAATATGGTGTTGTGACTATTCCATTGGTGCAATACTTCTGCTGTGCCAGTCAGTTGAAGCAAGAGCTGTGCTTGGCACTGTGAATGCCCTCAGTTGTGCAATGGGATCAGGAGACTTCTTTATTGTGAAACAAGACCTGGATTCTTACTGGAGCAAAAACTGTGTCATTGCACAGCTTATATTTGTCCTCATCACACTTCTATCTCAAAGGAGCACTGCTGGGAGTCCTCTATGCAATAATCATACATAGTATGTATGTATGTACTAGTAATAGTACATACAACAGTATGACTGTGTAATAGTACATAGTCACAGCACTGTGACAGCAAATGAAGGTGATTTTATCTGTCTGGGGTTTTATGTTGGTTGAAGACCAACACTGCACATCATGTTCAGTGATTTTGGAGCTATTGTTTCAAGCATTCAGGAAAATCTACAGGCATGTGTACATTGAAGTCAGGATGTCAGTTTAATTGGGATAACTCTTTTGGAGCAGTTCCACACCATGTTTGAAAGTGAACATACTTCTGGCTTTCTCATTCTCCTTTAACTTAAACAATTTTCAAAGTGCAAAATGGCACTCATTTCTTTATATGGCTTTTAAGGTTGAATTTTGTAGAGCAGCTTTCAAAAGCTATTACTTGTATTAATGAATTTTAATATATTTTGATGAAAAAAAATCAAGGGAAAGTAAATTGATGCTATCACTAAAACTGTGCTTTTATGTATCTTAGAACCTTGAACTTTTATAATGAAAAGGTTTACTATCTATATCATGAAGGTTTAAAAGTTATCATTGGAAATTTTTGCTGCAAATTTAATAACTCATGTACTTTGGTATGCTCGTGTATACTTTTCGAAGGACACATTTTCCTGATAAAGTGGAATATTCACAGTAAAAAATGGAAGATTTTTTAAAAATACATGATGATAAATAAAAGTATCTTACCAATGCAAGTTCTCTGAAGAATTTTGGGAACTGTTAGTTTCATTGTTGAAATGGTGGGAACCATGGGTCATAGCTGTTGACCAGAGAAAACTCCTCTATCATTGTAACCCTAGAAAGAGCAATATATGTGCATTTCATCTGAAAATGCAGGGCAGCTGTTTGTCTGATTGGTGACTTTTAGCTATCAGGTAGGCAAGGTTTTCCTCATTGTCTTACTGATTAGCTTCTGTTTAGGAATTTTGGAGGATCATGCAGGTTTGGGTTATTTGTTTGTTTGTTTGTTTGTTTGTTTTGGGTTTTTTGGGGGGTTATTTTGGTTTTTTGTTGTTGTTTGGTTTGGTTTTTTGGTTTGATTTTTTTTTGCCTGGGAAAAATTTCCAAGGGGAAAAAGACAAGCATGCCATTTGGGATTGGCAAGAAAGAAAGACCTACAGCTCTCTTGGGCTTCCTATCATTTTGAGCTGAGTCTTAGAACACTGAAAAGCAGAAGATTGAAAAACATATATCTGATCTCAGCTATGAGTAATTTTTCCCAGGCGAGTGTCAATTTTAAGATTCACTGCTCCAATAGTGGATAGTCACCTTCTTGTAGTATTATTTGAAATCTGGCAGAATGAGAAAAAGATTTGATGATTTATTTTTATTTTTAAACTATCTCTCACCCCAAGGGGCTGATTTTCTCTGGTTCCTATTCCAGTATCCCAGAGAAATTCAAAAACACAAAGCAACTTGTTTACTTAGCAGCAAGATTGCGAAAATGAGGTCCTTTTGAAAGTCCTAGCCTCATTCTTTTTGTACTGTTCTAATGAAAACAGTTTATATGCCATCTACCTCAGAAAAGACAGGCAAGTTAATGAAATGCTTTCATAAACTGTTATCCTTTTTAAAGTAATTTTCATTCCAAATAAGGAATCATATACAAAATCAGTATTCTGAGTATAGTTAATTACTACAGCAATTTATTCTGACTACTTAATTGCAGTGTCTTCATACATCAGGGTTTTGGTTGATTTGGTGGTTTGTTTTTTTTTTCTTGTCATGTTTGGTCGATTTTCTTGTATTTTCCTTTGGTTTAATAATACTCCAGACTCCAAGGACAGTTGCAGTAGAAATACATCATCTGCACAGCACTTTGCTGCTTTCCTTTGTTCTCACTTCATCGGCATTTTATCTTATCAATCATGTTCTGCTAAGAGATCCATGCTTTGACTCCTCCCTCATCCTGAAGAATGAATGAGGCTTTTGTAGGAGTAAAGACTAATGGGCCCGTCGCTCAGGAAAAAACCTCCTGTCACACAATTTTACACTTGCAGGCTTTCTACAAGGATATATTCCTTTGCTTTCATAATACCCTGTAAGCAGAGTACAGCTGGTACCTCAACTCCGGCTGAGCTGTGGAGGTCTTTCCTCTGAATTTCCATCCATGGTGCTGCAGGTGATCCTAGAAATACTGCCAGAAAGAAGGACAATACACAGCATCACAGGGAAGCAGAGGAAACAAGGACAGAATTTCTTTTGCCAGGGAATGAGGGAGATACTGGAAGATAAAATATTATGCACTATTTTTTTGTTGTTTGTTTTCCTTTTATTTTTTTTAATAAGGAAAAGAAATGCTGTTCTGTCAAGACTTTATACAAAGTGTGTTTATTGGATTGTAGTTTTCCTTCAGCCAGCTCTCATCTTCTAGTTTCCCATTTAGCACAGCTACTTTTCAAGTTCCCATGGGAGTAGGCTGTTTCACTTACAGTAGACTCCATTTCCTTTATGATCTGCCTATCTCAGCTTCAGGTGAGATAAGAGCTTTAGATTTTAAATAATTTGGAGAAGGATGGTTTCTTCATGCACCTTATGAGTTGTCTTGTGCTCCTGGGCAGCCTCAGTTAAAACTCGGGTTATGCTGGTAGTGCTTAGCAAGTACAGCAGAAGAAGCAGCACTGTTCAGGAACAGCAAATCAAAATGGATAGGATTCTACAGGAAAATGTTTCACAATATGTACACTTAAAGATGTAAAAAAGGAGATGGAAATCATGCTGCCTACGTAGGTATCAGAAAAATCAGCACTTATTAGGGAAAGTTTTTAATCCTTATTTTCTTTTGAACTTAAGAATTGTAAACCAAAAAAATAAAAAAAAAAAAAAAAGAAAAAAAAGAATAAGAAATTAAGAAAAAAAGAAAGAGGAAGAAATCTGAATATACCAGTCTTGACACTAGGGAGAGATTTCCTTGTTCCCATTACTCTAATCCATTTAGGTGATATATATCTCCTCCTTGTTTTTAAATTAAAAATTTATGGACAATGAATGCTGTATGTTAACTCAGAAAGGGACAATGACTTCTTCCTAGGAGTGGCAGTACTTTGGAGATATTGTACTGTCAAAACCCTCCACAAAAATCTTTTTCAAAGTATTTTCTTCAATGGAAATATTTCAGTTGACTGTGATGAAATTCAAAGTCACTGCCAGAGAGCATCTTGGATAGGTACTGTCTCTGTAAGTTTTCTAGTAGCTTGAAGAAAAATCCTGCCTTATGTTCTGTCTTTCTGTACCAAAACTGAAAGGGGCATCTTATTAGCCTTATTGCACTGGTTTATCAAAATTGATTTCACATTTGTCTGTCTACATGTACTTAAGGCAGTTTAAAGCTTTTTTAAAGCAGTTATTTTTTCTGGGAAGTTACTGAATGCATCTAAATCTATTTAAGGGAGTGTTAAACCAGTTTAAATTGAGAGTGCACTACTTTTAACTAGATTAATTTAAGATTGACCTACTTGCACAAATGCAGCTTTTTAAAAAAGGGCAAGATTTAGAAGTGCTTGGGGAAAACAAGGATTTCTTGGAGCTTAGTTTTCAAGCACATTAGACATGATATGTAATGTACCAATTACTGGATAAAATGTGGCCACAGAACTGTGTCTTCCAGCAGCAGAAAATATTTGGCAAAAACTAAGTGTAGATAAACACAGATCAGTAGTGGTAATTTGATACTGTTATCTTCATATCAGCAAAAGAAATAGAAGTCAAACTAAAATACATTATTTTTTACCTCTGTAACAAATTTACCAAGGTAGATAGTGTACCATACTGAAGTTCTGCAGAAAATAGTTATTCCATCAAAGAACATATGATAAATAATAAGTGGAACTCCCTTACAGAAGTAATAGATGATTTTAGTGTACAGTGACATGTAAGGAGAATATTACTGCAGAGTATTTACATACATGTGTGATATCTGTAACTTGTGTATACATAAAACTTAAAAATTCAATAATTCAGTTTTGTTTATTTTTTTGTTAAAAAATATCCAGTATTCAAATAATTATTCAAGTTTGCAGGCAATAACAAGAAAACAAGCAAAGAAACCTGTCACTTTGTACCATGCTGTTTGTAGACTGCCAAGTAAAAGCTTCTTGGACCTGATGCAAATGCAGTGTCTTGTGTAATGTACTTGGACTCCAGTTAGTGCACAGATTCTGCTGTGGGCACTGTGCTGGCAGCCAAGAAAAATTTATGAAAATCCTGATCTCTGAACTGCATAGATCAACTCGTAGTAAATTTCTTTTGGCTGCCAGTGTGGTTGACACAGTGCAGGAGATATATGCTGTTGGAAATGTGAACCAGTGGAGTTGTGAAAACCATCTCCTAAGGGAGCTCTGTGTCTTGAACAGTGTTCATGCTGTGGCTTGGTATAAAGGAAGCCAAGCATTTCAGATCAAAGGAAGCTCTGTATTACAATGTTAACATGGCTTTAATTTCATAAAGCATAGTGCTCTTAATTGATTATGTATGTTTTTTAATAAGCAATTATCAACATCAAACTTGATCTGCTACCAAGCAGGGTGACCTTCCAGTTGTCACATGCTTATTTTCTAGTTCTCCACTAGGATAACTATGTAAAATATTAATATCTTATGTGATTCTTTATTTTATAGTACTTAAGTATGTGCTTGTAAACAGAGAATTGCAAAAGCAGGTTCAGATCAAAGGTTATCCTACAAAATATCCTATCTCCAGTTAACAGCTATTAACAGATACCTAAAGAAGAGAATAAGAGCAGGGTAAACATATGGCAGTAAAACCCCAGCATATTCCCTCTTAGCTTCCAGTAATCTGTGGCTCATTGAATTTCTGAGGCACAGGCCATATTTTTGTGTTTAGTAGCCTATGAGGGATTTCCTTTCATTAATCGGTGTAATCTCTTTTTGAACTCATGTAAGCATTTGGTATCCACAACATCCTGTGACAATATGTCCTATAGTTTAAGCAGATGTGAAATGCTACTTCTTTCTGATTTTTTTTAGACAGATGGATGCTCATATTGTAAGGAAGTAATTTTCTAATAATTTTATCTATTCCATTCATATTTTATGGGCCTCTGTCAAATCTTGTTTACAGGATAAAGAGACTGAGACTATTAAATTGCAGTCTTGTTTATATATAAGGTTAAGGAAGTACAACTTCTATTTTAAATTGAAACTATTTGAGTGCAAAATGAGAGAATTAGCAATATTATAAAATATGACAAAACCCAACTATTGCATTTATAATATTACACAATGATGAAGATGCCAGGATAATATTTCAAAAAGCTTTGCAAGTTGCAGGCATATTGAATAACGATTGATTCTTTCAATTTCATCATTTTCCCTGAAATCCAATTTGATTCAGGAATCAATTAACACAAATAATACTTTCTGACACTAAACCACAACATTTTCAGTATTTAAAAAGAAACCAGTCTTTCCTTTATCAGTAAGTGCATTTTGTGCTGATAGAACATCCTGTGTCCTCAAACTTTCCAAATCTTCCTGGATTATACTTGTTGATGTGCACCTGTTCCATATCCAGTCACTCCAAGACTGTACCTAGAATCTTAACTCTCAGATATCCAGTGTCTGATGCATAAAATGTATCCTTGGAAATATTATCATGGTATCAAAGCTGCACTAACAGCTTCAGAACAGAAAGATCCCTTTCAGCTATTGAAGAGATGGGAAATTATTTTAAAAAGTCATAAATGGCCCTGGTTTCTTGTGAGGACTCAGTCTCTGGACATAGGACTATGCAGATAGAAGAGGATCTGTCTGCTGGACCCCATCTACTGGCTGGAAGCCAGATGGTGGAAAATGTTAACTGTTGGCAAAGTACTGACCTCATTTTTATAATTTTTGGGGAGGATTTTGCTTTCATGGAACACCCTTTAGGCTTTGAGGAAAGCACTTCATTTGCATGTTGTTAAAAGGAAATCTGTTTAAAACTGGCAGTTAGTGAAAGCAGTTTTGTGGATGAATCCAGACCCATGTTCTAGATGTGTGTTTGACTAGATGTTTTTAATACATCCCAGGGGCTCTCAGTGTGTAATATCTTACTCTCAGCTTCCTTCTTGGCCTAGCATTTCTATATGCCCTATTATGAAAACTGAAAGAGAGGCTGAGGAATATGCTAAGAGAATTGGCTTTGTGATATTCTTAATTAAAGCAGTGGGATTGTAGACTAAGATACACATCTTACATCATGCTTTTCATGTCTGTAGAAGCAAGGTGATACTTAAGTGTAGCTTAATTGCCAGAGACAGTCCTGATGCAGGTTGCAAACCAAAAAGGCAGCACAGCTCGAGCCACCAAATTGCATATTGCTTCCGTCGTGGCGTGGGTAAACAGATCATTGCAATCCTTTGTGGAGTAGTTAGGGAAGTTGCAAATTCAGCTAACCATTCAGACTGCAACTGGAGGTTATTTCCCACAATACCAGGGCCAGCAGAACTGGCTTGCTTGCGTTTGCCATCTGCCTTAGTTTGTGATCAGCCAGCCTATCTTTAACCGCTAATGAAAAGTGTTAAAGCGGATCTGGCTGACTTTGCATGGAAATAAATGAGGAAAGTTCACATTGTCTGTTACATCGACTTTGCTGCCAAGGAAACATCTAGCTGAAAGGCAGCATGGGTCCTTGCAGACAATTTTGGCAGCATTTGCACCTACAATCACTGAAAAAAACCACTGCCTTTTTTTTTTTTTTTTTAAAATTTTAATAATGTTGTTGTTTCAAACAACTGTTTAAGCAACAATGAAGTCAAGTTTATCTACCAAAATGGATTCATTTAAGCAGACCCTCATATAAGTATATTAGGAGAACTACATGAGTTTACATGGGAAAATTTAGTTGAAAAATGTGAAATTTACTTGAAAAATATTTGTTGAACAGGTTAATAAGTTGAAACTAACAGTGTTGGAGCTTTTAGCTTCATTTTCTCTTATTATCTTTCTCATTTTCCCCCTGCAGTATATGAGAAAAACACATTGGGAAGCCATTTTTGTTCAGGAAAATAGATTTATTTTAAATGAGTCCAAGCATAAAATGTGAGCCAGCCTCTTCATGACTTTTTTTATGGCCTCACAACCTCTCACATACAAAAGACTCCCTTAACACTACATATACAACTAATAAACAAATAAATACTCCTACCTTAATCTTTCCTCCTTTTAGAAAGAAGCTTAGCAGACTTTGTGTACTGAATCTGATAGAGCTTCATATAATTCTTACATGTTTCAGAAAGTTTTAGAGAATGGGGGAAAAAAAAATAGCATGTTCTTCTTATCTTCTATACATTTCATAAGTGTTTACCATCAGCCTACCAAAAGGCAATATTTCTTTAAAATGCATGATACCAACTAATAGTAGTGCTATTAATAGAGGAACTGCCTTATGAGCTATGAGATTTCACACCAGAGACTGAATTTCAGGTTCTTGAAAGATTATGTGCCATGGAGAGCTTGTGAAAAGCCATATCTCAAACATGTTGAGTTCAAAAGAAAAAACTAAATTAAAAAAAAAAAAGGAGATAAAATTCCCTTTATTATTACAAATAAGTCAAAAACAGTTTGCAACTAAAAAAATCAGCTAATGAATGAATGACTTGAAATTATTTATTTTTCTTTTCAGTCTGATCTCCTAGTAGTGGTAATTTAGGAAAGAGGCATTTTCTATGAACCTAGAATTCTGCCTTGAGACAGAAAATGACATTTCAGTCATTTAAAGCAGTGATCAGGCTTAGCATTCCAACTCCCATGTGATTCAGGGTTCCTCAAGTCTCTATTTGTTGCTAGGGCCACTGAATGGAGACTTATTTTCAAGATAGTAGATTTAGGAAATACCAAAGATGCTCTATAGAATATTATTACTGCATTGCCATCTCATTTCCCCTGCCTTTTTAGGGGCAAACAGAATCTGAAAAATCGTGTTGCCAATTAATATGGGTGTTGTCATGGTTTCCTGAGAGAATGAGACAAGAATTTTACAGTAATTACATATTTAATTACATATTTATTTATTAAGCAAAAGTGTAATGGATATTGAAAAAGTAGAAAGCTATAGATAACCCTAAAATATAAGATAACACTATATCTGAATTTTAAGAAATGTATATCATTAACTAATGAAAGACTTTCTACAAAAAAATGTTCTCAAATCTAATTTGTGCTTTTCCTGACAATTCTTCACTTCAAAATGCCCAAACAATATGTTCTTTAGGCCAAAATGGTTTTAATCTATATTTAGACTTCTTCCTAACTGTTTGGAACTGAACTGTCTGTCCAAAAAATGCTGAACAGGTAACATCAATAGCTGGAAACATATACAGCTAAAACATTAGGTTTTCATAAAAGATGAAATCAAAAAAATAATAAAAAAAACCCAGATAAGTTGAAAGACCAATATTTTTTTTGTGCAAAATGTTTTTGTTTGGTTGTTTTGGGTTTTCTTTAAGGTTTAAGTCTCTCTTTCAAGTCAGCCTATGATAAGTACTTCTTGAGTTCATACATATATCACTTAAGTCCATATCCTGTACTTCTATAATTAATGTTTTGCCAGTGACTTAAAAGAAAAGACCTAAGTCAAAAGCCAGAAGACTTGAGGGGGTGGAATTAATCTGACCATATGTTGATGTTTATATCTGAGTTAGTCTCATGGAGTCCCTTGAGAGTTATAGGAGAGATATATTGCCTTCCTGGGTAAGGTTTGTTGCATCCTGAAGTAGGTGTCTAAAACAAACTAGATGAATCATGTTCTGAAATACCTGTTTCTCATCTCTTGCTGTAAGAGGTGCAGGTAGAGGCATTACAAATGTTACACAGAATCACTAGGTTGGAAGAGACCTTCAAGATCATCGAGTCCAACCCAGCCCTAACACCTCAACTAAACCATGGCACCAAGTGCCACATCCAATCTTTTTTTAATCACATCCAGGGATGGTGACTCCACCACCTCCCTGAGCAGACCATTCTAGTATTTTATTACTCTTTCTGTGAAGAACTTTTTCCTAACATCCAACCTAAATTTCTCTTAGCACAACTTGAGACTCTGTCCTTTTCTTCTGTCAATTGCTGTCTGGTGAAAGAGACCAACCCCCACCTGACCACAATAGCCTTTCAGGAAGTTGTAGAGGGTGATAAGGTCACCTCTGAGTCTCCTTTTCTCCAGGCTGAACAACCCCAGCTCCCCCAGCTGTTCCTCACAGGGTTTGTGTTCCAAACCCCTCACCAGCCTTGCTACGTCCTCTGGACGCGCTCCAGCGTCTCAGCATCCTTCCCAAGCTGAGGGCCCAGAACTGGACACAGTGCTGAGTAGCTAGATAACTTCCACTAGTGATGTTGAATTGTGCCATTTCAGATTAGAGGAGAACTATAGTGACAAGAGCTTGAAAACAGCCTCACCAGCCGGGGTCAGAAGAAGTCTGTCTCAGCCCCAGAGATGGCTGTTTTGGGAGCAGTTCAGTATAGCAGTCAGAAAGGTCAGTTGCAGGCATAGGCTGTTCACTGCCCCTCTTGTTACATCAGGACAAACACTTGTGCTGGTCTGAATGTCATAATTCACAAGTGGGTTGCACCTCTGAAATTCCGAATGCATAGCTGGTAGTGTGGTAATGCGTAAACGCACTTTTAGTTTCCCATTTCTAGGAACATCCAGAGTACCTTGTGATGCAGTTTAGAAACTGATACTATGTTAGTATGAGGAAATGGGATTACCACTGAGTATTCAGGATGCTGGAGATCCAGTAGTGACATGGAATTAATGCTTGCAGAAGCTAGCAGTGCTTGCAGAAGCAGCAAAAGTAGTAGGGCCCGAGCTTGAGGAAGAGTTAGCAACTAAAATACATATATAATCAACAGTTGTTCCTTAGCTGTTTCTTGTTTTTAATGGTCACTTGTGGCATTTGTGGCAGGGCTGGCCATAGTGGCTTTCAGAGGTGCAGAGATGTGGTTACAACCTTCCTGACTGTGGGATGCAGCACAGCAGCTGTGGAAAATCGTGGCCTCAATGACTCTGTGTTCAGATCTCTGCTTTCCCAGTGGGAAGCTCTGGTCTGAGAGACACAAACCTGGAACCTCTGGCACTGTTCCTTCTTTCTGCCAGGGCCAGCTGCTGTTGCCCCAGGCTGGGGTCCTGCTGAGCTCCTAACTCAGAGAAGGGGAAGTGCTAGGATTGACTTCTGCCCTGGGTCTACATTCTAATGTCCAATCTCTACTGGACTTCGCTGGGGCAGTGAACTCCTGCTTTCATCTTCCTCTCTAAGTGAATTCTTGCATAGTCTTCCTTCTGCTGGGAGGCCCGGGAGTGGCTGCCTGACCATCTTGTCCTCTCCAGCACCCTTTTCTCTGCCCTCTGCAATCTTCCATGCTGGAGGGGCTAAGTCATCTCCACGCCAGCAAGTGCCAAGAGTCGCTAGTGCGAACTGACCGTATTCCCCGAGTTCTAGAGAGGCTTACAGTGGTCCCTCTAGCCAGGGCAGCATACAGCTGCATGGATATAGAATCCTAGGATCTTAGCAGCAGATTCTCCAATAGATCAGAACATTTCATATGAGTAAATATTAACAAAGTAAGACCTAAGTAGCAGATTTGTCTTTCTGTCAGTTTCTCTGTATACACGGTCCGCAGTTTGAAGTTGTCTCTATTTAAAATATGATGCACACTTGGATCAGGTTTCCCTTTGAAGTCTGCAGACTTCTTAGAAAACTTGTCTTCTTTTCAGATCAGAGAACTTTTAATGATTTTTTTCTTCTAATCACTTTGCCAATTAGGATTCAAAATTTCCATTTCTTTTTATCACCAGTTTAATGAAAAAAACCCAAACCATGGACAAATCCATCTTGACTTTTTTTTCCGTAATGTGAATTAAAAAAAGCAAAGTAACAGTGAAGGAAGAATTGTTCATATTACAACTTTATATATATATATGTGCAAACCACTATGATGTCACTGTTTAAAAACTCTCAAATTCCTGTGTCTGTGTTAAGATACAGTGGTACACTAATAATAATACCTGGTTTTGGTGGGTTTAATGTGAGCGAATTTAAAGGATATTATAATTACTCTCAGTAGTTTACTGGTACAGGGGAAAAAAATTACCAAACAAAAATTTAACCAACACAAGATGTACACATAAATTAAATTCTATGTGTGCTCTATTGTGGGAATTTCAGTGATCTCTAGGACTCTTTCAGATTTCTAAAAGGTGGTGAGATGCTAGAACAGGTTGCCCAGAGGAGCTGTGGATGTCCTATCCCTGGAAGTGTTTAAGGCCAGGCTGGATGGGGCTCTGAGCAACCTAGTCTAATGGAAGGTGACCCTGCCCATGGCAGGAGGGTTGGAACTGAATGGTCTTCAAGGTCTCTTCCAACCCAAACCATTCTATGCTTCTGTGTGATTTCTGCCCCATGACAGATTACATCTATTGTGAATATTTGCAGTATGACTTTGACCTTCCTCCTAGCATTTACAAACATTTCTTCATAGGAGGACACATAGAACATAAGGCTAAATGAATAAAAATAAAACAAAAGAAGTCACTGTGTTAACAAATCTGCACTTTAGTTGAATGACCCAGAGCAACCAGACCATGGAGGATAGATGAGAACTGTGTGATACATGCTCTTCTCATGTACATATCCAAATCTTCAATCCCAGCATGTGTTTATTTTCACAGCCTTTAGAAAGCAGTTTTAACTACTTCTCTAGCTTATTTTTCCCACTAAAAAATAAAAACAGAAATAAAGAAAAGACAGTAAAGAGTATAAATAGGTAAGGCTGTTTCAATATTTGCAGCATTTGTAATATGAATAACTTTTCTAGCAAAATGTGAAATTCCATAAAAATTCAAATTTATTTAAGATAGTTACTGTCTAAAGACAACCATGAAAACACCCAAAATGATTTTTTTCATTTTGTTAATCAATGTGCCTTTATTATTAGTAGAATGAAAATGGCATTTGAGAATAATGTATAAATTCAGTAGTGGACCTGAGTCCCACTGATCCCAGAAGCTAGAGATTCAACATAAATGTAGGAGTTTGTTTAGTTTGCTAGGTTTCCTGTCACAGCAGGGTTTCCTCAAAGCGTGAAATAAAGCCATAAGCATTATATATTTTCAGAAGCAACACATACCATCACATTAAAGCAAGCTCTCATGTCTTGTCTAGCTCCCCTAGGACCATCTCTAGCTGCTTTACTTGTCTCTCTTTGGGGAAGTTGGTATTGATTCACTAGTCAGAATGATTTGCAAATTTTTTCAGTACTAGTAACTGAAACTGTGAGAAAAAGTGAAAATATTCTTATATCCATGCTTTTTTTAGAAAGAAATTCAAGAATACCTAAAGTAATTAATTCCACCCATTTCAAGCAATTTACTAAAAGTTGTAGAATGTGGTTGGTAACAGATCTAAGTAGTAAGTCAGAAATTCTTGTCTTTTGCATGTCTTTGCCTTCTAAAGTACAGGCTGATATGTGTTACAAAAGAAAGTGGGCTCCTGATTTCTAAATTATGCACAAATTATGCAGAAACAGTAAAGCACTGCCAGGACGGACTCACAGGCCACTGAACTCAAATGTTGTCATCATATCTCATCAATGATCTGAGTCACCTGAAGACAGCCTTGCTCTGTAGTAGTAATGTACCGTTGTCAAATTTCAAACGAGCAATTTTAAATTTCACACTAATCTGTTAATCTTTTTAAAATAGAATAGTTTATCAAAAATATGCACATATGGGTGTAGGTATTCTAAATTATAGACAGTGTAATTAGGATAGACTTTTTATATAACAAACTGTACCTCCCATTCTGTCTGTAAATATATATATATATGTATCACTAAGCCTACTGGGAAGGAGTTTATTATGCATTTTATATATTAATAGAGTGAAAGAAGACTTTTTTTGTCACTGTATTTTGTCTCAATGAAAAAGCCTAAATACATAGATATATTATTGAAAAATGATTTGTTTAAAATACAGTGTGTAAAAAGAAAATAGATACGCTAAGTTCATACAGAAAGTGGATGTGCTCTATATGATATATTTTTATTTAAAATGACAAAACATTAGTTTTGTTCTACATTTTTCAAAGGTGCTCCATCCATCTTTTAGCAAAACTCTTTCCAAAACAAACGCCAGGCTACCAAATTTTTGTGCCAATGGCAGAAATCTGAGATATTGTCAAGCAACTATAGATGATTTCTGATTTCTTAGACTGGAAAATGTAGCACCTTTATTTGGGTAAGAGTATTCCTATGATTTATATTTAGTATATATACTCTCAGTGTAGCATACATATACATATATGGTGCTTATGTAAGTGCATACATAATGTATACGCTCGGTTCTGCTGTATTGTAATAAGGTCAGAGAGAGAAAGAATCTTCTTTTATGACTGACTGTTGAAATAGAATCTTCAAAATTCTGTCCTGTCTGGAAAGGATAATAATAAAAAAGATAAAACTTTTTTTAAGAAAGTTTTTTTAAAACTTTTTTTTAAAAAAGAACTTTTTTTTTTTTTCTCTTTGTATGCTCTGTAGACTTAGACTCTTACTCTACAGTTTGTAGCATTTCAGCTGTTTGGATGCAGCAGGTGGTAAAAATGAACAGGATAATGAAAATGCAAATTCTGTGTACATTGAAGAGAAAACAATGGGTATTTTGTGTGTGTGTGTAATATTTCTGATTAATTGTAAGTTTGTCTTTGAGATACTGTCTCGTTGGTAATAGGACTATAATAGAAGTCTTGTGCAGATTTAAATTTCAGTTTGATATGAATTTAATTAGGAAACATCTATCTACATCATGAAAAATGAAATAAAATAGTCTTTTTAAGAAAGAGTCTATATAAAAAATGTCTTTGTATTATTACAGTTTGTAATTTGAAATTCAGTTTCTAGGGTTTCTTTTCCTTGGGATGGAGAAGCCTTCAAAACTGAGGTCACATGTTAAGCCATTGAGTTATTGCTTTTATAAATTGAACTCACATACCATTTAAAATGGAAATTAATCTCTTCAGAGCTAGATTTTCTTAATAGCTTACTGTGGACAGACATATTAGCTTTGTTTATCTGTATATGTGAAAAATAGTGTATGAATTAGCTACAGGGAAAGGCTTCCCTGTAGAACATGCTTCACACTGCTGGCTGTTGAATATTTGATATATTAATACATATTTATACTCTGGAGGTTGGGCAGTGTTTGTAAAGTCAGGCAGATTTAGTGCCTAAAATAGTTTATAGCCTCAGAGAAAAGTGTCAGTATAAAAATAATAATTTTATCTTACTTCTTTACATACAATATCTTTTTCTTCTTCCCTTGTGAAATCAAACTTGAGATAAAATAAGAAAAACAGTCGCAAACTTCTTGGGCTTACAGCCATTCTATTCTAAACCTCCATGCTATTAGGGAACACAAGAACAGAGAAGCACAAGTTTTGGTCTTGTCAAACATATTTTCAAATAATTTTCTGCTACTCTGTGGATATACAAAAGATGTAACTGAGACGATCACAATTAATATTCACCATTGTATATCCTTGAGCGGCAAGCTTTAAAAATCATCTTAATCATACACATTTTAACTCCATTAGGACTTGTTAAAGTTTGTGATGGTGCTTCATTTGGCCATGTGGACTGAAGTGTGTCCCTCTTGGATAATGTATACTGAAATATAGAATGATTTGGGACTCCTTCAACGGTGGCAATGGAGAAAATATAAAGATGGGATAACAAAGCTAGGCTGAGTGAATATGAATGCTCACTTGTTCTCACACTTCTTCAACTTATTCTGAGCACTGACCAAGGAATTGAAGGTGGGCTACCATCAGCCTTACAGTCACAAATTCACTTCTGTGCAGCCTTGAGAAAAAGAGCAAGACTGAGCAACAGAAGGTTGTCCTGCTGCACTCTCAGGAGCTTCAGTAACATTGAGGTACTCAGGGGAAGTCTGCTCCCTAAAGCAAAGAGGCACTGAATAATTGTTGCCTAATTAGAGAAATCTAATCGCATGCAAAGCAAAAAAGGATGGAAACTAACACAGTAATAAGGCCCTACCTGTACTAGACTCAGACAGCTCATCTTGGGCTGGTTTAAACCTGAGTTTCACTGGCACTAAGTTATTTGGGTCAGTTTAAATTCAGGATGCCCTGGAGACAATCATGACGCTTGATGGAAATTGTTATGAATAATGGGGCTATTTGGCTACAAGTAGAAAATATGTTCCCTGTTAAATCATTGTCACCCCAGGCAAGAATATTATTCTCCCAGCTCTCTCCTGTGACCTTCTCCCTTCCTTCTTATTCAGTTGCTCAAGGGCTGTTCTGCCTTTGCCACACTTAATGGCTCCCCTGATGGCTACAAGTTGCATTGCATGAGGTGGAAATAAAGACTAAATCCAGAGGGGCAGTCAGACCCTGAATGTAATGTTTGGGGGTTTTTGGTTGGTTGGTTGTTTGTTTTTGTTTTGTGGGTTTTTTTGGGTGGTTGTTGTTTTTGTTTGTATTTTTTGTTTTGTTTTTTGTTTTTCTTTTTATTTGCTCTTTATAAATCTCCCCCATCCAAAAGACAAAAGGAGAAACAGCCAGCCCCTGCATAATACCTGTTGTCTGACGTGGTCCCACTGTCATTTAGAGCTTCTTTAGAAGTGCTCTACCATATGCCCATTATTGGGATTCTGAAAGGAAGATATGCCAGTAGCTGAAAGTTGGTTTTATTTATTTCCCTGTTACTAGTATTTCATGACTTTCAGAGCAACATGAAAAAAAATTTAGAAATTGCTGGAAATCTGTAAGGGGACTCAGTAAGGACTGAGAAGCAAAGGATGTATTAGTTCTTCATGTATTGCATAACTGGCACAAATAGAATTAGTAGACTCTTCCAAGACTGTTGATTAACTGTGGTTTCTTGAAATTTTAGAAATTATGACTAATTAACTTCCCAGACTTCCTGCCTCAAACAGTAGAGGTAAAGCATGTAGAAAACTCTTTCATCTACTGACAGTAAGGAGCCTAATGATAGTGGTAGAATAAATACTCTTAATTCAAAACTATTTGAAAATAATTCCATAAAAAATGTGGCCAACTTGTTAGTGCATTTTTTAATATAAGACTTAGTTAATACTCATGATGTAGGAAGAATGGGTATAGAAGGGAAATTTGCTTTCAGAAGGTCTGAAAAGCAAAAGAAGCTTGCTTCTTAAACATTCAAATTAATACTAAGGAAAGAAGTTTTGCATTCTATTAAACCTAGTTTAGAACTTTCACAAAACTCAGAAAAGAATTGAAAAATAATGTGAAACTTTTCATCATAGTATGAAAGCTGTGGTACAGTAACATGCTCTTTTTTTCTGTCTTTCCATCTTAAACCTATGATTATTTAAAATTACATTAATTATTCCATTATAAGTGCAGAACTAAAACCTTTACAGAGTTCCTTCTGTGCATCAGTTCCTATGCTGCTGTTAACTACAGAAGCTGTGGATTATTCATAAGAAATGATGTCAAGATCATCTTTGTCTGCAAAGAGAAGGCCAGATTCAGATATCAAGAACATTTATCAGCAGGACAGTCAGGCTTATCAAACCTATTGAAACAACACATTGAGATTCTGCTTTACTATAAAAAGAGTTGCATCTAAGAAAAATATTGTCATAAAGTATTTCATCTAGAAACCACATGATTATAAATGATAGGATAAACTTCTCATTTCTAAAAGCACATTATGTCACATTAATTTTTGAAAGATGTGATTTTCTTTGCACAGTTATACTGAATAGAAGATCAAGAACATCTAGTTGACATATTTTCAAATTAAAAATGAGAAGTTATGAGAAGATTCTGAACTAAGCATATAGTTTTACTTGTGTCTGTTTTCATGATTTCATTCAAACATTTATTTTACTGACATCAGCATGGCTTTATGCATCATGAAGGCATCTAGTGTTTCCTCTTTCATATGTACTTTGGATAAAGTTTATTTTATTGTGTCAACAAGAGGAAATTCTTGAGAAATTGAAATACTGTCAACTATGTCCTCAAAGTTCTGTAATGTATATATGTGTAATTTTGTTGCTGATGCAACTTAATATTATTTTTACTGACATTTTAAAAGTACTTCCAGATCAAGTTCCAGCAATGGAAAATAACTGTCTATCCCCAAAGAATCTACAGGTTAAAGGGTAGGAGTTAAGGCTGAGCATTTTTTTCATATTCACAACCAATATATGACTATTAGGCCACAGCACAAGTCTTTCATTATTTATATTTCTCTTTTGAAAAGAAATTACTTACTATAGGTGACACCAGTTTCAAATGGGTTCAGCATTTCAAAATTTAATAGATAAGCATAAGCTGCTGATCTAGAGTACTTCTCTTTTCAGTGGGATGGGATCACACTTCTGGAGGATGATTCTTCCCATCCCTAGGTGATGAAATGAGCTATATTGGATGTGACCCTTTTCAGACAACTGGAATCTTTCTCCTGATCTAAAACACTTTTCCAAAGTTTAATTCTGTGACAGGTTTACAACAGAATCTGTAAAGAGTCATAGAAAGATATGCAGAACAAAATCTTACATGAGCAAAAATTGACACAATTAATACCATAGAGGTCCAGCTCTGAAACTTTTAGAAGAAGTGTCATTGGCTTTGATTTGTGTTTTCTTCAGAAGAGTGCCATAATTCTAATGCCAGATCTTCCAATTGTATCTAATACTCTGTAGGAAAAAAATTTAAAAATATTTTTGAGAAGAGAATAACAAAAACCTTAAAGTGATCTGTAACATGAGTGCATGGCTTTTCTTTAGTCCTACAAAAATTAAAAAAGCTCTAATACTTAAATAAAAAACTACAGTTATTACAAGGAATTGCACAATGGAATATATTAGAACATCTATTTGCCTCATTAGGATTTCAGTTACAGTGATTCAGAAATGGAGAACATCTCCATATAATCAGCAGGGATCTGACTGCAAGTGTTTGGATGACTAAGTGCTCCGTGGGGTTTGTTCTAAATAGGTAGTCTTCAGTTGGTGTAGTTTACCAAACAAAGCCAAACTATTTTTCTATGGGAACTATGTCTTGATGAGAGCATTTTTAGTTGGGTTCATGGCAACATCAACTTCAAATCATAAATTACACAAAATTGACATGAGCTGCAACCCTGCACTTGCCATGTGTATCAATTATAAAGGTTTATGTTTATGATGACTGTAAGAGTACCATATATTATAGCATAATGATTTCCTTATTAGGAAAAAAAAGAGAGAAAACTGCCTTTTCTGCCACGTTATCCTTGATATCCTTGATGATTCATTAATTACTACTCACTACCTTGTGAAACTCAAATCACAGTGAAAATGTCTTGCAAGTGCAGAGTCCTTCATGTGTTGGCTTTTTTTTACTAGCTTTATGGATTCAAAAGTCTTTTTCCTTTCCTTCTCTTCACAGGAAACGATCTCTTTCTAGTAGCAGTGCATGAACTTGGACATGCTCTGGGCTTGGAGCACTCTAATGATCCCACTGCAATCATGGCTCCATTTTACCAATATATGGAAACTGACAACTTCAAACTACCTAATGACGATTTACAGGGCATCCAGAAGATATACGGTACGTCATGCTCTCATCAGACACCACAAGCTTTTGGGTTCAGAATACCTGTGAGGTCCTCCTGTCCATATCACCTCTCCAAAGAGTTCATTAGTGTGGACTTCACCAGTTGTTCCTGCTGTTACAGAGTCTGTACATGGCTAGAACATCCAGTGATCTTGAGGATGCTCTTTGTTTCTAACTGTTCACAGCTTATATTCAAATTTGCACTCACCTGGAAGAGTAATTTTAAATGTTTTAAAAATCCGTAAAGAGAATTCATGCAAAATTATTCCAAACTCTGAAAATATTAAGAAATGCAGGCCTTTAGCTGTAATGACATTATTTACACAGGTGTCCAAGCTCATGAAACTTGATGAATTGTTTGTGTTTGCTTCTCAGTTAATCAGTTATAATACAGAAAATTTCACTCAAAATCCCCAAAACACCCTTTCTTATGATAAATATAACAAATTGATCTCAAAATAATGTTATCACCAGTCCCTAGAGAGGGTAAAGAAAGGATGACTTTTTTAAAATATATTCATCTAGGTTTTTCATGGCCTGATACAAGATGTACATGATGCACATAAATTCTACATTTAACAAGGCAATTGAATTATTTTTTAAAAAGTCAAAACAATAACATAATTGTGATTATAGGTTGAATGTAACACTATCTCCCATATTACAATCCCTTAAATTTCCAAAGACATAGTATTAGTTTTGGTTTTAATGACTTTGATTCTGTTGGTATATGTTAAATAGTCTTTTTTTTTTCCCTTTAAAGATATATTTTATTTTTAGAAGTGGAAATTCTGTCATATCTTGTGTTAATGCTCTGTATCCAGTGCATATAATTTTACATTGCCTTGTTTAATGTTTCCTAGATAAATCTGCACTGGATTAAATTCTGTACTCCCAGTTTTTCCTGTTTAAAGTTTGTCATGGTTATGTGGAATATTTTGAGGGCCATTCCTTCTTTATCTTTCCTACCAGAAAGGACAACTACAATCATGTAGAATTACTGTACTGCTAACTAGAAATCTGCAGACTCCATAGTGTAATAGTAACAAGAATTTTAAAATATCATATTCACAAGCACAGATATAAATTTTCATAAAGCATAAATAGCAATTTCTGGATGACTGGCTGATCATGTTTTGTTTGGTTGGGTTTTTTTCCTGTGTGATCAGCTGGAAGGAAGGTTGTTTCTCATGACCTCATAAGTTGGTAGTCTAGACTTAAGAGCTAGACAAGGATACTTTGCTGAAAACTAGCTGCTAAGCTCCAACAGCTGTGGGCTATACATTACATACAAATGTGTTACCCCTGGGAAGTAATATCTGACATCACCACCAAATGGCATAAAAGAACTTTGATTTGGGGTTAAAAACTTTCCAACACGAGCTACTGCAAACTGATTCCTTTGCTCCCTTTAAAATCAAGATGTGATCTGGAATCATATGCCTCAATAAAAATGTCACACCTATTAAAATAATTACTTTGGGCTGCAGTATTCCTTGAAATACTGTTATTGACTGTAAATTATAAATGTCACGAGTCTTAAAATTGTGAATGAAATAAATGTCTTATTAAATTGCATGACAACCATTTGGCGAGTTTAAGATTTCCTTACATAATCCATCTTTTTCTTTATAAAGTATGTCTTTTTGTAAAACTCTCAGAGATTCAAATTTATTTCCTGCAGTTTTAAAGTTGTCTTACTATTCAAAAGTGTTTCTGAAGGTAGTCACGCAAACAGTATTTAATTTTTAAAGTCAAAGTATATTATCTATTTAAATAATTTTGAGAGAGGCCTAAATAGAATGAAGAAAAATTAAAACATTAATATTGTTTGCAGACATCTTACTGATCCAAGTGAAGCTTCTTATCTTTTTCTCCAGGAAAAATAAATGTTGCTGATAACTTGTAGAGAGGGGAAGGCATTTTCATTACACTCATTTCAAGTCATTCAGTATGCCATTAGGGTTATGATCAGTATCTGTCTGGGATGGCCTGATGACTTGCAGGTAGAGAAATTATGAGTGATATTATTATGAAACAAAACTCTGTATATTTTGACAGAAAATATATTTGAAAGATGAAAAATGTTTTAAGACTGCTCTACAGAGTTTTAGTGTTTCACTTGAAGAAAATGTGTGAATCATGGCAGGGGGTTGATGGGGTTTGTGTGTTACATGCATGCCTAGGATTTGAGGTCCAGTTTTAGGAGCTCCTGTGCATACCAAGGGATGTTAGAAAAAACTGTGAATGACCTAACTCTAATGAATATGACATTACGTGATCTAAAAATTTGGTCAGTAGGAAGAAGCAGATATGCTACATGTATGCTTGTGTGAACTGATGACTATAGATTAAAAATATAGGTAGAAAAATCTATTGACTGATGATGATCTTATAAGGAACAAGATTTTTTTTTTCACTTATTTGTACAAGAGGATATTATTCTAAGAGTTCTTACTTGGTGAATAATTTTCTTTGAACTACTTCTCATCTGAAATGGTGATGGCCTAAGCATCCTTTGAAGGTTTTATTAGAAAGTTGTTCCAAAAAGGAGGATTTTGGATAATGAAAACTAATTCTTTTCCTTGATTTTGGTAGCCATTCTTTATATCCTTTCTAACCAGTGCCTGACTGGAGCAGGCTCCCCAGGGAAGTGGTCACAGCACCAGCCTGAGTTCAAGAAGTGTTTGGACAACGCTCTCAGGCGTGTGGTGTGACTCTTGGGATGTCCTGGGCAGGGCCAAGAGCTGGACTCAATGGGTCCCTTCCAACTCAGCATATTCTGTGATTCTATGGTTCAGTGATTTAATAGCATCAGAAGGGTGTGTTAGGTCACTTTTTCATTCCCCTTTCACTGTCGGTACAGCTGTTTTTTGTTGTGTATGTTTCCTTTAGTGGGTTTGTATATTACATCCAGCTGCTGTGTTTTTAAAGGTCCACCTGACAGGATACCACCACCAACAAGACCTCTGCCAACAGTGCCCCCACATCGCTCAGTCCCTCCAGCAGACCCACGAAAGAATGACAGGCAACCCAAACCTCCCCGGCCACCCACTGGTGACAAACCTTCCTATCCCGGAGCCAAGCCCAACATCTGTGATGGGAACTTCAACACTCTGGCTATTCTTCGCCGGGAAATGTTTGTTTTTAAGGTAGGAGGCTGTGAATTTTTCAGTGTTACATCAAATGTCTACATTTCTCTTTTTTTTTTTTTTGTAAAGCAAGCTCTCATTCATCATGACTCTACATTCCCAGCCTGCTCACAGTTAGAAAGTTCAAGAAAAAAATTAAAAAATAAACATACACATGGCCGAAACATCCAGCAGGGGACTGCTGCAATGTTCTATATTAAGGAAATACCCATGTCAGCAGAAACTGTAATGCTTCAAAATGTAAGGGTAAATAAATGCTGCATGTTGTGGAAAGATAAAAAAAGTGTAAATCAATTCATGAATAATAAGGAAGCTTTTGCTGGGAATAAACCACATGCTAACATACAGTAGATACTGTGTCTTTAGCACTTTTCATTTTTTTAATGGAACTATAATTTTAACTTTACAATTAGATCTGTCATTTACAAAGGAAGTTTGTCATTGTGTTGTGGTTGCATTGAAACCACAATATCTTACTAAAGGTCTTTGCCACAAGATTCCTGCTGCAAATGTGTCATTATTTTTTTCCATTCATCTTCTTGCTCTGAGCTGAAAATGTGGTGTATATACAACAAATTGAAGTAAACAAACAGAACTGAAAGGCAGCCTTTTAATAGAAGCACTTTACTAAGACTCATGGACATCAAAGGTATCTTCAGGAGGATGATCTGCAGTATGGTTTCCAGAAGACACTGAATGTTGAAGAAAAAATACAGAATCATTGTTGCTCAGTCTCTTAAACCAATTTGCTGACAGGTAATGTTGTTCAAAAATTTCAGAAACGAGCAACAAGATAATCTGTTTTTTGAAGTAATAGCATGTCATATTTGCTTAAGCAATGGGAAATGTGAGATCTTTGTTTTGTAAATGTGTGATAGGATCCTTTTTATCTTCTGTATTATAGATAGAGAAGAAGGAAGGGCCTTTCATGTGACTAGATAAGTTTTCTCTTCAGCAATAGAGTAAGTGCAAGGGAAAGGCAATGATTTGTCCCAAAGCATGAAGCTCCCAGTTCAATTTTGTTGTCCTTTCTGATAGGACTTATTTCTCCCTTATGTGTTTTCTTTTTATATAGCCTACTTCATCAGATAAATCTTATCAGCAATGCTACCCAGGCTTTCACTTTCTTTAGCATATCTAAAAGAACATGTACAAATAGCTTTACATTAATTAATTCAAAATTATTGAGCTACCTCCACGATCCAATGGGCAGGAAATATTTTTCCCATAAACTGCTAAGGATTTTTGCAGCCTGGGGCTGTCAGCCCATTCCATTTGAATGGATGGTATATGGTGAAACACTGGGAGGTCCTGAACCATCAGTCTTTTATGACTAAAACTCAAAGGTTGAGGAAGAACCTAATTTTCTAACTTGACATTAAACAGGATATTAAAATACCTACTTCAATCTCATGTCATCCACCTCAAGAGCAATAGAACATATTCTCATTTAGTTTAGACATAAATCAATAAACTGAGAAATGCCGTTCCACTAACACAAAATTTCCTGTCTAGGCAAGCCTGTGTTCCTGGATAAATATATTCAACACCATTAATAATCACTCTTATCTGGTCTGATTGAAAACAAATTAGATTTTCTTCAAAAATGTTTACTGCTTACTGCCTTAACACCACATATTTACTGTAAATTGTATATGCTTGCTAGTGTGCAGACTGCATTTGCATTCCAAAATTAAAATTAATTTCATCAATCCAATGAGGAAATGTGATAAAAGTCTCTCAGAGAAAAGCGACCAGTAGCAGAATGCTTACAGATTTCATGTATAGAGTCGGACTCCCCATGGGAACATAACAAGGCATGTCTTGGGTTAGTGTGCTAAACAGTGGAATTTGCCTAAGTACAGAGATTTTGACTTTGTAGAGTGAGGTTCTTTGAATGCTGGACTTAGTGAGCTTTAAGTCTCTTGTTTGTACATTAATTTGCTAATGAAGATTTTTGTCTGCTAAAGGATTTTTATTAACTGTTTGAGATTTTTGAGTAGGGGAAGGACTATAAAAGGGGCAGAAAAGGGGAAGAGTTAGAAAAGTCAACTTTGCAAAATCCTGGGGTGTGAGACAGGTTGTAAGGAAAAGCTCAGCATGTCTGAACATAGCAGAAAAAGGGCAGGAATTAATTCTTTGGGGTTGTAAACAGAAATAGGAACTGAACACAGGGGAAATCATCCAGCAAAGGAGGAAACCAAGCTGGAGGTTCTGTGATCTGTCACAACAAAAATAACCCAAACCTCTTTTCCCTTGCCTCTTAATGACAGTGCAAGGGAAGACTGGGAGGGCATAAGTGATGGGCTGAGAGCCAAGTACGGAAAGGTGGAGACCAGGGGATTGATGACAGTACTGTACCAGGTGGAAACAATTAAAGAAGAATTATGACCTTCATTGGAAGAATTATTGTTGGATAGTTCCCAGATGAGTTAAATGGATAAAGTTGGAGGCTGATCAAATTAAATCCTTTTCTGTCTTTGTCTTTATCCAGAGGTCTGTAATTATTGTGTAGTGGCAGATTTTACTGCCTCCTGACTGGAATGTATGCCATGTACCGATTTCAAATTGAAGATAACCAGTTTTTTTTTCTCATGGGCAAGTCTCAAAATAAGGATCTCAATTTGTTTAAATAATCCTTGAAATTTCTTGGGAACTTAGCCGCAGAGTTGAAGAATTTCAGCACTTTTGAATAATTAAATTCTAATTTAAGCATAAAACTGAAGCATGAAATCCAACACACTGAGGTACACTGTGGATTTTCATAGTAGATGGCAAACATTATTAATTTCAAGATTGTTTTCTCTTGGCTGTTAAGCTATTAGGTATACTTAAGAGCATCAGAATATTAGAAACAATTTCTGTGTTCAGTCAAATTAATGAGCTTTGTGGTTTTAAGACTATCTGGCATTCTCAAATGGATATATCCAGAGTAAAACTGCATAGCACTAAATGTAAGGAGAAAATGTAATTTACACTTATCCATCCCTTTTCATTGTTTTGTCATTACTTTGACAAAGTAACAATCCTAGAAACACTTGATAAAGATTGGTCATAGAGATGAAAAACAGGGGAACTGTTCTTTATCTAGCATAAACATTAAGCAGTATAGTTTACAAAAGTAAAGCAATCAATTTACTAAAGATTCTCTAATGATCACCAAATAAAATTATAATTTTACAACTTTTTTTTTGTAGGAATAATTGTATTTTAAAGAAAAGATAATTCTTTTATGCCAAATACACACATATCACTGGCATATAAATTGTATTGTCCCGAGAGGATTTCTTACAGAGTTCTTTAAATTAGATGCCCTTAAAATGTCCCTGCCAGCTGTAAGGTTTGGGGACACAGTATGCTATGCAACGAAAATGTTTGTTAAAATCAATACATTGTAATTGCTGGTTTCAGTTGTCATCAGCTGATAAATACTGCTGTTATTTGGTTCGTGTTTGAATTGGTATAAGGAACTATCAGGGCAGAAGAATGTCTATGCCAAAATTCATGTGTGCCAAGTTTTTGTCTTTGGATAGCTTCTTAGCTTCTGTATTTATACTCAACGCAATTAGTATTTTGCTGTCACACTCATTTCCAGTCTTTCCTTCTTCTGTTTAGCTAGAAGTCCCCTGGGACACGGAAAAATGGCTAAAAATGGTGAGAAAGAAAGGTCTTCCTTTTCTGGGCAAGTTATGCAAAGTGGTATGACACTGTCTGCCTTTAATGAAAACCCTCTCTGCCACTGTGTGTAGCAAAATGCAGCATCCAACAGTACTGTCTTATTAATGTCTCCTGAGAGTACTCCAGAGCTAGTGCATCATGAAAAGAAACCCCACTGTCAAAGGTCTGAAGACAAGATCCATTAGTGAGGAAGTTTGTAGCATATACTTCCACTTTCTTCCTGTGTCCTGTGCAATTTATACTTGGTTTCATGGCAACAAAATTACCTGTAGCTCTTCTTCAGCAGTGTTACTGTCGTCAATGTCCTTTTCCTTTACGTTCCTTTCAGTCTTACAGATTTTAAAAAATGCTGCTTTCTTGAGCAAGTTGCATCTAGAAAAGTAAGCATATGTGGAATTTGTCCTTCATAAGCATCAAATTAGAGAGACAAGTTGCTGTCCTTTTTTTATGTGACACAGGTTTTTGTTTCACAGAACATTTCATAGAGGTTGCACTGGTCCTTGGTTTAATGCTAAATCCCTAGGAAACAAATTTATGGATGTAATTGCTAATGGTTTTAGTATCCATGTTGGAAAAGTTAACTTCTTGAAGAACAGCATTTTTTAACTACTCTCATATACTGTGTTGTTTGTTAAAATGTAATTTAAATATTAGATAAAGAATTTTGTCCAGCAGACAAATATCATTTACAGCTCAGAGGAATGTCTTCTGAGCATCACAGATGGTGGAACATGGAACCAGTTCGAGAAAGGCCTTAATGGGCTGTAGTAATTTTAATTTCTCCACAACTTGCAGAAATTTGTTTTCTGACTCTTCATCTTCTAAGAACCATTGTAAAAACATTTATGACATGCCAAACAAGCCAAGGCAATTAGGCTGTAATTACTCTTTGGCATTACTTTAGACTGCTATTGCTTTCATACGTAACAGTATAGGTTCCATTTAATATCCCTCTTAGAAGTGTGTATTTATATAGGGTATGCCATTAAACATGAAAGGAAAAAAAGCTGTTTCTTTATATGTGGTAAACACATGAGAAACTTTTAAAGCATTTTAGCATTGGCAATTTAATCTAATTAAAAATCTGTGGGACAGAGGGAGAGAACTACTTACAAAAGCAGAGGCAAAGAAACAGCTCTAGTATGAGACTTGATTTCACTGTATTTGAATGCAGACTTTTTTTCAGAGCTCTTGTGGTCTGTTTGTGTAGCTGGTTTTTGTCGTGTCATGCTGTGGGTGTCTGAGCTGTCAACTGCTGCCTGGGAAAGTTCAGCAGAGGATCCTGAGGAAGTAGACACTTTGTGATCTGAAAGGGAAAACCACTTAACATCCTAACTATAAAAGTCTAGGAACAGTAGTTCAGAAGCAGCTAAGTCTGCAGAGAACAGACTCCTTTTCCCCTATTTTTTGTATCATATTAGGAAGACCAGTTGATGGAATTTGCCAGTTTTTGAACTAAGGGAAGGAGAGCTGCTTTAATTCAGGTAATTGAGTTTATACGTTGAAAAGGAAGGATAAAAGCAGCAAAAACTCAGCGGGGAATTAAATGTATCATGGTATACCAAGCTAACTGGAAATGTACAGTATGGTTGTTTTATGAAACAAAACCAAATTGTAGGATGTCACGAAGGATAAAAGCAGGGACATGCTGGGATGCAAAAAAGTCATAGCTTGTCTGTTTTTGATAATTGAATACTTTCACTGACAGATGTAAAAATATTCTCCAAATGTTACCTCAGCCTTTCAATCGGAAAGGTTTTTAGCTAACACATTCACAGGCTTAAAATGGGAAGTACAATCTGTTCCTTACAGTGTGGAAAGTGGGTAGTCTATTCCACCCAGCTGCAGAGCAATTTAGACAAGAATGTAATCACCTGGGTAATAATTGTACCAGAATAGTGGTGTTTAAAATCCTTCTACCATCTCTCTTTTTAAAAAGTTGTCTAGAATTCTATTACACAGTTTGAAAGATGGCAGCCCAGTCATAGAAATACTTATTATCTAGCACCTGCATGCATATCTGTGTATATATATGTAAATTTTATGTATAGAAAGTTCTAAAAAAATCATAACTCTATTTTCAGGGCTTTATTTACGAAAGTATCAATATAATTAATATACATTTTATTAAAACTTACAAGCAACTTAAACTGATTAATAGTCTGTACTATCTGCCTAGTAAAATTCCCATTAGTCATGTAGTAGCCCATTAAGAAGTATAACCTTCCCAGGATGTATGACTCAGTATCTTCCACGGGGCTTTAGATTTGTCAGGAGAGGGAGTACTGTTTTTTATCAAAAGGCTATGTTTTCACTGGCAAACGGTGTGGTGTAAAAGGATTTAATCAGTAGCAGAGCAGATGGTACTGAGTTCCTCTCATGTCCATCATATGTGCCTTGCCTTTAATTAGATACAGTTTGTCCTCTGAGGCCAAACAGTTGCACAATACATGTGTTTCAGATTTTTCAGAAGGGTAGCTAACCTGTAGACACTGGTGTCTTTGACTGTGGACCCCATGAGAGTCCATGAGAGCGCCACACAAGTGTTTCATCTAATGGTGGCTGTTACCATCTTGTTAATATGTAATTGCTCACACCATCTTGACCCAAATAAGCCTTCACATGCAAAATACATTATTATTTCTTCTCATACAACTTTCTGCATGACACAATTGTACCTGTTCCTTGACTCCATACTACAAGTTTGCATTGCAATACAGTTCAGGAAGATGAGGCAGATTCAACAACTGTGCTGAGGCATTGCTGTGAACTTGAAAGCTACTATTCTGAGTTTAATTTTCCCTGAGAGAAAAGCAAGACAGATTATTTGTTTAATTTCAATTTAAACATGAGGGAAAAAATTTTGTCCTTTCTGCACCATTTTGTAGCAACAGAAATATGAGCACTAAAAAGTCTCACAAAATGTTTGTCACTTATTTACCCCACCTAAAACATCTAGAGGTCCTTTCCAACCTCAACCATTCTGTGATTGTGTGAATGTGCTGAGATTTGACTGTTTCACCCACTCATTTCCCAGTAGCATTTGCTTCATCCCCTTTGGAATATGACTGTCAGAGGCAATAGCTAGTGAGATTTGGTCAGGAGACTGTTTTGTGACTTCATTCCAGCTCACAAACACCGACCTGGCAGAGGAGATTAGGGTGTGTGGAGACAGCTCACAAACACTAACAAAAGAAGTGCAGGGAAGGGAATGTCCACCCTTTCTGTCTGTGGGACAGATGTTCTGCTGCCTCCTTCCGAAGAAATCATCCTCTTTCCTAGGTTTTGAATAAAACACTTATTCAAAGGCTGACTTGGTCCTGTCTCTGAAACTCTCACCATCTCATGATGATCCATTAATACCCACAAGGTGCACTCCCCTAACCCAAAGAGTCCTCACAGATAAAAAGGATCACTTCAGACTCTTCAAGGGTTTTCACAGAGAGTGGAACAGTCTGAGTTTAAGAGCAATACTAGAATGAATTGTGTGAATTATTATACAAATGTGGTAGCAGGCTTTGGGGCAATGCTTGAAAACTGTAGGCAGTTAAATGTGAATCTAAACAAATTCTTATTTCTGATTTAATCTAATAAATACTGAAAAATATGATACTAAATATTTGTGAACCACTGGCCACAAATCAAAGAATTAGTCATTCTTTAGAAGCATTTTTTTTTAAGTAGAGTGAAACTGGGGGAATCTGAAGCTCTCTGGTACTTGCTTTACACAAAAGGATAGAGTGGGTCAGACTTTTATGTACTCTTAGGAAAGAACTTGTAAGCTGAATAAAAAAAATGGAATTGTTTCCTTTTCTCACTCCAAAAAAATAGTCCAACAAATGATAGTGTGCTTATATGGTGTTACTTGTGCATTTGAAAGTGATGTTTTATTTGTTGTTGAAAATAACTGTTCCTTTTTTTCTGCACATATGACAAGAGTTTGTTCTAAAATCTACTTGATCATTAAAAATTGTGTTTTCAATCACAAGTTTTACATACTACCAAAGGTAAGAAATACTGAACAATTATGGTTCTGCATAGCATTATTAAATAAGAGAAAGACATTAAAAATACAGATAAACAAATGCACATAAAAAGACTCTAATCTGGTAAATTTATTTCTTGTGCATAAAAATAGGCAGAGACTCTCAGTAGGGAAAACAAATGCCCTCAGTGGACATTATTATTTGCAAAGGACTAATGATGTCAATTAAAGTGGAAAGGCGTTATCCTGGGGACTCTTCCCCTCACAGTTACAATATTTGTTTCCTAAAGTCAGAGAATCCTGAGACACTATTAATTTTTTACTTGTTATTTTAAGACAGTAAAAAACTAATAATGAAAATTTTAACTGAATTCTAGTGTGCAAAAGGTATTTAATTTTGTAGAAGCTGCCTGTTTTCAGAGGCTCAGTGTTTGGGTGATTAAAAATGTTTCATTGGCAAGAGAATAGAAAAAAGCATTATTGACAAAAAATAATGGCAAAAAATCACAGCAAGGAATAATCTAAAATTACATGGAGGCCTATCTTCAATTTTGTGCCACCAGCAAGTGTTATCTTGTAATATTAACAATACATTTTAATTGAGGCTACATCCTAATGGAACCAAAGGGAGTAATTGCAGAAAAACTTCAAGCACAAGGCTTAATTAAAATTTTTCGTTGTATAAAATTGTGGCCTTTCAACTAATTTAGGTAAATGTTTTGGAAGACAATTTGAATGGCTTGTAATGTAAGCTTTTTCAAGCAGTAGTATTATTTCCTTATACTTTCGTAATCTTCATTTACAACCAAAACTTTGTATTCTAGTAGTATTTGTATATTTTTAATTTCTTTTTTTTTTTTTTTTTCCCTTTTAAGGGGTTGAAGGTCCACAATGTAAAAGTTTGGCAGGGGTTTAAATGCAAATAAACTAATCTCATTTGGTCCTCTGAATTAGCCATTTCCTGTTCCAAACACTGTACTACTAAACAGTTTAGATCTTAAATAGTGTAAAACACATGTATGTTTACCTTTTTTACCTTTCAACAACTTAGTGAAACACTATTCACACTCTGGGAAATCTACTGAAAAATAACAAAAATTAAAAACATGTATTTACTTAAATTCTGCATTTCCTTCTTTTTTTATAAGCTATAGCTTGAATATTTTTTCAGTGTTGCTTTCCTTGCCTATTGAGTGAAAACTTGGCCCAACTGAAAGTAATGGTGAAACCTCCACTGTCTGTAACACACTGATTTCACTTGGTTTTAATTGCCTTTAGTATAATGAGGGACTATCTATTATGAGTAATACATACTAAGGAAAAATCACAAAAGAAACAACAGATAAGCCTGTAATACCAAGTGTATGAAATAAAAAAACTGTTTTTCTGTACAAAATCAAATGTTATTATGCTGCATTTCCAGTCAATAAATCAAAATTACACAGAGACCATTTTAATTCATTATTTGACACATCTGTCTAATGGAAACATTTTTACCAACGAGAATAGGCCAAATTATTATTATTATTATTATTATTATGAGTATTAGGTCAAAGGTTATACTTAATAATGGCAGAGTTCAATCCTTTCCCATTCTTCGTTAAGAATGCACCAGCATTTCCCCTCAATCTTATCACGATGGAGCCTTTGATTTTTGTTGGAGTGATGTCTGGCCAGCCCTTTGTAACACCCACAGTCATTTACTTCTTTAAATTGTACATTCCCAGCTTATCTGTAATCAGATGTGTCACTGCTGGAAATTCCTTCATTTTGTACAAGATCCCTGTGTCTGAGTGACAGAGGCAGTGAGCAAAGACAATTGAATAGCTATCATTTTCATGTTTGTGTTGTCATGACAGATGTTATTGTTGGCTTCTGTTTTCTGGATGTTTCATTCTTAATGGCCTGTTTTGCTCATTGGTCATTGCTGTCAACCTCAAAGCTGAGGCACTCAAGAAATTATCACTGTTCACCTACTAATTACTGTGGGATCTTCTACAGTCATTTTTTTAGTTCTACTACATCCACCAGGGAGAACATTTATTTAGCCTTGCCCCATACCGTTCAGAGTTAGATTTGGTACCTGGATTTTTTTCCTTTTTGTTTTCAGCACAATTTCAGAGAACACAAGCATTAAAATGAGAACAGAAACAATTAGCCTCTTATCTTGCATCAGCTTGAATGCAAAATAACCCTCATACACTCATCTACAGGACATGGAGCACGTTTCTCAAAGGGGAGAAAGGACCTTAGCACAGGAGCTACCAGGGCTCATTGACAGAGCTTTAAACTAGATTGGAAGGGGAAAAGGGACAAAACTAGTGATAAACAGTTGCCTGTGATAAGTAGTAGGATGGCATGCCAGAACTTGATGCACTGAGTGCTAGTGAGAACCCTCGGGGCTGAAGCTGCCCAGGAAGGTGGGGGACAATAAAAAGAGACTGTAGTAAATGGGGTTACATCAGGCTGGTGCCTGGTCACTAGTGGGGTTCACATGACTCCACCTTAAGGCCAGTTCTCTTCTACACTTTCACAAACAACATGGACACAGAACTTAAGGTGATGCAAACTAAGTTTGGCAATGACACTGTATTGGGAGGAGCTGATTACTCTCCTGAGGGCAGAGAAGCCCTGTAGAGACCTCAACAAATTACAAGGCTGGACAATCACCAACCCTCTAACCCTCAACCATATGAAGTTTAGCAAGGGAAAGGGCTGGATTCTGCACCTGGAACAGGGAAAACCAGGATGTACATACAGATTTGGAAACAGAATGTTGGAGAGAGTGCTGTGGAAAGAATCTTGGGGATCCTGGTTGATGGAAAGCTGAATCTGAATCAGCAGTGCCCTGGCAGCCAGGAGGGCCAGCCCTGTCCTGGGGTACATCAGGCACAGCATGGCCAGCTGGGCAAGGGAGGGGATTGTCCCACTCTGCTCTGCACTGGGGCAGCCTCAGCTCGAGTGTCTACATGTTGTAGGTATGTATATATAGACAGAAATTAGTAGTGTAGGTTCTCTTCCATTTCCCCTACAGTGTATTAGAGAGTGAGATATTGTCTTGAGAACTCATCCTGGTTAGAGCAGCTTCAGTATCTTGTATGTATGAACTGTTCTAAACTACTGCAATCAGGAGGAAATACTTTAATTACTCCTCTTGTTTCCACCTGTGGTTCTGACATGACTCATCAGTGCACTCTAAATTCTTCTGGTTTCCTCAGAGATTTCATGCAATGTGCAGTGTGGAGAAGGCAGAGAGACAGGGTAAGTGGCAGCATGAATATTGCATCTGCACGTAGGATCACACTGAATTGCACATATGTGCAAAACCGTGAAATTTGGTTTCATGAATTATAAAGATTCAAGAGAGGGACATGATTATTTTAGATCTTCAGAGAATAATAATTCAGAGAGTTACTGACACAGCTGATTTCAGGTGTTGTATTTCTGTATGTGTGCATGGTGTGTACGTAGTGGTTTCCATCAATTTATGCTGTATCCCCTATCACTGACATCCCTCTTTCTTTACAACTGTAATGTCACTGTTCCATTTACTGCACATTTAATTTATTCACTAAATGTTTTATTTTTTTCCTCGTACTGCCTTGTAAATGTTTTCCTATTGTTAGTCACAGAATCATAGAATCAGAATGGTTTGGGTTGGAAAGGATCTTCAAATATCAGTTATTCCAATTTTCATGCCATGGGCTGGGACATTCATTTGCATATGGAAAAAACGTATTTGCATATGGATTTATGGCTATGACAGAAATACAAAAATACAGGTGATATAGTGATAAATCAAATAAATATA